CACAGATGCAGGTTTATCTGCGTGATCCTTGCAAGGTGGTGGTTTCACTATAAAAACTTGGGCAGTCCTTATGAGGCCGCCTCTGTGCAGTGGTGTGAGGGCAGGAGTTGTGGTCCTACAGATAATAGGGGTCAAGTCTCCCTCAATGAGAGCAGGACCGTGGCATTATGGGGTGACAGGCAGGGCAGGGGGGAAGGGGCCACAGCTGGGCTGTGGCATTTTTCCTATCAGCCCCAGTCCCCTGACTCCCATCACGCCTCCCCAGCCTCTCACTTCCAGAAGCTCTCAAGTATTTCTTTCCACAAATAGATGGAAGCGAGTGAGACACGACTGAGGCATAGGGGTGTGTCTGCCTATGGGCACTTGTACACATGTGTCTGGGGGCACGTGTTGGCGTGCTGTGTCTGGGGGTTGTTTTGTTTTGGGGCCCCACATGGCGGTGCTCAGAGCTTACTCCTGGCTCTAGACTCAGATCATTTTGTTGGTGCTTGGGGACCATATGGGGTGCTGGGTATTGAACCCAGGTTGGCCACATGCAAGGCAAATGCCCTCCCAGCTGTCCTGTGGCTCCAATCCTGTATGTGGGCACGTGTGTGCATGTCTCTGCAGTTGGTTGTGTGTATACATGCGTGCCTGTGCAGTTCCTCCTCCCCCATGCTGGTGGGCTGCCACCTCAGTGCCAGCTGCTGAAGGCAGCTCTCCTCACTGATCATCGGTTACAACAAGCTGAGGTCCCTGAAGCCGGGAAGGAACCCCTTGGAGGACACAGGTGTCCAGGTTCTGTGCGCCTCCCTGAAGCACCACAACTGCAAAGTGGAGACCCTGGGGTGAGGGCATGCTCAAAGCTGGCCTGTCTGCTCCCCCCGGGTCCTACACTAACTCTGGTGGTGTGTTTGGGGGGGGGGGGGGAATCTGGGGGAATCAGGCAGTGACAGAGGGTCCTTTGGGGAGGGAAAGGGCAGCTCCTGAAAGCAGGGTTGGCGGTCCTTGGGGCAGTGCAGTGAGAGTCCCTGTCTCCACAGCAGTCTCCAGCTGCAGGACTATGCCCTGGGGTTAGCCCTGGGATGGGGTGTGCCCAGAGGCCCCAGCTCAGGCAACTCTGGTCTGTTTCCTGGCTGGCTGGTCTTGTGCCAGCTCAGTTCTGCCTGCTGCATGGATCTGGCCTCTGTCCTCACCTCCTGCCAGTCACTGCGGAGCCTGAATCTAGATGACATCAGACTGAACCCTAGCGGGACAAGTCTGCTGCCCTGAGCAATGCCCCTTGTGGCCTGCAGGTTCTGGGGTCAGAGCCTAAGGGTGAGGCTGGGGCTGGGTGGACAAGTGGTGTTGACCCCTGTGCCTAAGCTTGAGCATCCCTTGGGTAGGGCTTGGCTGAGCCATTAGTGCCAAGGAGAGTAGCTGGGCACTGGTGGGCATGGCCTTCCATAAAGGGGGCATGGCCAGCTGCCAGTAGCAGCCCACCCCTACACATCATCTGGATGTGACTGCTTGGCTGGGACACTCAGTCCACTGAACTCTCTCCTCTGCCCTCTTATGCATTGCTCTGTGCAAGGCAAGCCCAATCCAAGATTGGGGGCTTCACTGACTCTGCTGTGACCTCCCCCAGATGCCAAGAGCAGCTGCTGGCCTTGCCTCATCCATGCTTGTCTGAGAAAGGCCTGGGTTGCATTGCTCCGTTGTGGCAGTGCCCCGCCTCCCGAGGGACCCCAGAGGGAGAATGGAGTTGGTGGGGGCACTGCCCACTTCCTACCCCCAGGAAGATTCAGATTTCCCTGGGGTCTCCAGGCTGGACATCTCTGAGTTCGATCAGGAGACACAGGCACTGCTGAGCACCCTGGTGAGTGCTTCCTAGCTGATCATCACACCCAGCCCCTGGGCGCTGGACCAAACAAAGGTGCGAGGCCTGCGTGTGTGATGCCCACCTGTGGGAGAGGCACCAGCTATGGCAGCAGAGGGGGCAGGAACAGGATGGCTGCCCTCACAGACCCCTTTACCTTCCCGCCCCGCCCCCTGCAATTTATGTAAGGAAAAAAATAACATTAAGCATACCGGACACTATGCGTTGTCATTTATCACTGATTTCCGTCACCCGGGGGACTGGGAATCCACTCCAGCACTGAGTGCTCTCATTTCTGTGACTTTTTCACTGATTCCATCACTGATGTTGGTCTTGGTTTGGGGGCTTTGTGATTGGGACTCAAAGTACCTCCATCCCTACTCTCCGACCTTTGAGTTTGACTAAGGCATTTCAGCCTGACACTGTATTTGTGTCCCATTCCCAGATTGGAGAGAACTCTCTCCAGCTCCCACTCCCCCTCGGTCTTTACCATCCTTTTGTCTGTCTGGGAGTTTCATGTTTTGTTGTTTTCATTTTGTTAATTCGTACACTTGCATATTTTATGCCCCACAAATGAATGGAATCATCTAGTTTTTTTCTTTTTACCATTCTTGACTTGCTTCGCTTTGCACAATCCCAAGTGCTTTGTGTGAAGTACACAATTAGGCGTTATTTCTTGCAAAACAGCTGCTGCATCCAATCCCGCACTGTGGTGAATTTCATGTTTTGGCTACAGTGAATCTCCTATTGAATACAGGGTGTAGTGTTTTTTTTTCCAATCTCTTTTATGCAGTTAAGGTGATGCTGCTGGAGCCTATCACGTTTCCTTTTTCTGGTGAAACAAGAAAGTTTTTATTGATGGTTGGTTACTTAGTTCATGAGAGGTGAAGGTCGTAATTATAGTACAGCAGGTAAGACACTTAACTGCATGTGGCCAGTCTGGATTTGATAACCCGAGAGCCACCAGGAGTCTGCAGAACCACAAGTCAGCCCTGAGCATCACCAGGTATGGTCCAAAAACAAAATGTGAGGGAAGAGAAAGGGAGAAGTACATGTTTGAGAGAGAACATCGGCAGTGACAAAGTGGGGGGAAGGAGTGAAATAAGCAAACAGACAAGCAAGCAAGAGAGCTACGCACAGGGCACACGGGCTTAAACACATTTTTGTTTTGGGGCCACAGTCAACAATGCTCAGGGATCACTCTTGGTGGGGCTCGGGGAACCATATGGGAAGCCGGGGATCCAACGAGGATCAGCCACGTGCAAGGCAAGTGCCTCCCGGCTATTGTCTTGGCAGCCTATTTCCATTTCTGAAGTCATTTCCGTAGTTCATAGAGGCCGTTAACATTTTCATCTGCACCTCATGTCCCAGTTCATTTTTCTCCATGCCCTCACCAGATATTTGTGAGCTATTCCTAGCAGGGTTCTATTGTGTCTGTGGGGGGCCCCTGTGCATTGGCTACGGACAAGTGTCTATTGTGCTTCTAAGCTCACATTTTTTGGGGGACGGGGGCTAGGGGGTTTGGGCCACACTTGGTGATGCTCAGGGTTTACTCTTGGCTCGGCACTCAGGAATCACTCCTGGCAGTGCTTTGAGCATCCCACCATATGGGATGCTGGGGATCGAACCTGAGTCGGCGGTGTGCAAGGTAAATGCCCAACCCTCTGTAGTATTTCTCCAGCCCGTGGTTTAGGCAGTCACGAAGAACCAGGAATGTGCCAGATATTTAGCAGGTAATGGGGAGGTGAGGGAGCTAGTGGGGCCAAGTGCAGGGAGTCCAGTTCCATTGTATGGCTCATGGTCTCCCCTGCAGAACTACTGAGCAATCCTCAAGCTCCACTGGGCATAATAGACAAGCCAAGTGTGCGCCTGGCCCTGGGAATGGCAGAATGTGGGGCACCTGGCGCCAGTGTCCAGGGCCAGCTCCTTGTCCGCAGACAGATCCTGGATCAGGTAACTGGCATGAGGCAAGTGGGGGAGGGCCAGCGGGCAGGCTGAGTCTGATGAGACCGTGTTTCTTGTTGAAGAGGGGGATTAAATCCAGCTGTGGGGTGGCAGGAGCGATGGGTGCAGCTGGAGGCAGCTGGGCCGTGGGTCCTCCTGGTCAGTATGGAAAGTGCACGCGTCTCCTCCTGTCCCCCAGTCTCGGGCAGAGTTCCAGCTTCAAGCTTCCTTCAGCATCAGAGCTTTTGGTCACTGAAGTGGACAGGAAGGCCAAGATATCTGCTTCATCTTTTGCTTGGGGGCCACACCGAGCGGTGATCAGGACTCGCTCCTGGTAGGAGCCCCTGTGTGCTACTGGGGTTGACTCCAGTCTGTTTTCGTTGGGTGCTTGCAGGTGGATCACATGAATGTGGCTCACCTGACGCATGTCCAGTCCCAAACACTTGGTCCTTGACTAGTCTTTCTCCTTGTTCCCAGCAGGTGGTGCTCATGCCCTACTCAGTCTCAGGCCTGGTTGTAGATCTAGGCAGGAGAGTGTGGTGAGGCATGGGTGGCTCGAGGGACTCAGCCAGGCGGAACTGCCTGTGATGTTGAGGGCAGCACCCATGGGTGCAGGAGGTTCTATGGACAGGTCCCAGCACCAGCCCAAGAGGCATCTGAGAGCACCTCCCGTCTGCCGGGGACCCTGAAGGCCTTCCAGTACCAGGACACCACTCTGGCAGGTATCATGGTCACCATGAATCTTCCTGGGTGCAGGGTGAGGTGAGCAGGGCTTCCTGGGGTCTGCGGAGGGACACCGGGCCACCCCACTTGCAGACATGCCAGCTCTAGCTAGGTTACCAGGACATGGTGTGCACTGCAACAGTAGGGGCAGTATGGGGTCACTGTAAGTGTTGAGACCAAACACGCCTGTGGCTCATTAGCCTCTCTGTACGCCCTGCTCCCTGGAGAGCACTGGACTGGGATGTTTGCTCCCCCAGTCCCCACACCACCAGGGCAAGAGACTCACCTAGGGTAGGGTCAAAGGTGCTCCAGGGATGTCGGCAGGGGAGAGCCTTGGACCTCCCCTAACCCCCGCCCGCAAATTCAAGAGCACTATCACTGAGATGGGCCCTGGTGGATCTGGACTCGCCGGTGAGCTGGCCCAAACTTCCTGTCTTATGTCTCCCCCTTCTGCCCAGGAGCACACAATGGCCCCACAGAGCAAGGCCAGCAGGCGTCACACCCGTGACAATTGCCATTTATTCCCCAAGTTGCCAAAATCATCACTGAGGGTTCGAGGGCGCAGGGGGTAGGGGAGGGCGGGTGGAACACTGATCAAGGGCTGCTGGGGTGCAAGGAGGGGAGTGCGTGGGGTACCGCTGTCCCGCCTTCTGTAATGCCACAGGAAAGGGCCCTCTGGCCAGCACCCCCTTCCCTGCGTTCAGTCTCTCCTGGGTGGGGGGGTTGGGAAGGGGTGTAGTGTGAGGGCCTGAAGGGAGGTGGCCCCATTCACATGCACTCACAGCACTGCCATCCAGGGCGGCCGCCCCTTCCGCCCAGGATTATAGTAGGAAGGGGTTAGTGTTGGGGGCCGGCGGGCCCGGGGGCATCATGGGGGGCAGGCCAGGGCCCCCCCCCAGTGGGGAGATGTACGTGGGTGGCGCTCCAGGAGCAGCAGGCGCGGGACTGAGCCGCAGCTGGTTGAGGGTGAGTGTCGCAGGGGGTGCAGGCTGGAAGGGGTTCGTGACGGAGGGGCCACTGGCCAGGGCTCCTGCAGACAAGGGGACAGCCATAAGGAGGAGGGGCTGTGGCACGGAGAGGTCCCCACCGCCAGGCCCCCTGGGGCAGGGCGCACTCACCGCTGGGCAGGAAGGGGTTGGAGGCCTTGACCCCGGACGCCGCAGGCCCGGGCCGGCTCACCAGCGAGTCCAGATCCACCAGGGCCGCATTTGGGCCCAGGAACGACTCTGGAGTCTTCCGTGTGGGAGGAGTAGGGGTAGGGGTGGTGGACGGGGGGCTTCCCACAGTTTCCACCAGAGAGCCCCCAACCCCGCTCATGTCAAAGGCCCCAGGGCTGCGGGTTGGCACCTCCCCGGCCAGCAGCTCCAGCTCCCCTGTAAGGAGTCAGAGTGGGGATCAGTGGGGAGACGGAGGGCGGGAGGGGTCCCCGGCACACGGGGTGTCCAGCACTGGGGCAGTGGGTCTGTCAGCCAGTGCTAGAGAGGGTGCTGTGTGTGGGGCAGGGGCTTACCTGTGCTGCTCCCGGACGCCGGCAGGGCCGTGCGCAGCCGGTCGAAGTCTGAGAACTCATCGGGCTCCGTGTCGAAGCCTGTGGCAGCTGCAGATCAGACACCGCTCAGCCCCGCCCCCCGCCCCCCGCCCCCATCGCTGAGGTTGGACAGTGCTCAGCCCCCCAGCTCACCCACCCCCAGCCGCTGAGGTCAGACAGCGCTCAGCCCCCAGCCCCCCCCCCAATAGCTGAGGCCAGACAGCAGTCAACCCCTCACCCTTCGTCGCTGAGGTTAGACAGCACTCAGCCCCCCAGCCTGCGGTACCTGTGGTGCCATTGGTGCTGGGTTTGGCAGGGGACCCCCCCCAGGGGTCTGAGAAGGCTGGGGCCGGAGCCCAGGGATCGGAAGTAGGGGGTCCGCCAGCGGGGGCCCCACCTGGGTGAGGACAAGGAGTGAGGCTAGGGTCCCACAGAGAGCCTTGTCGAGCCCCGACAGGCCCAGGGTCTGGTCTGCACCCCGCACTGGGCTCCCGTCATGTAGATGGCAGCTCTCACCTTCCGCACTCCCCCAAGGATCAGACGTGGGCCCCTCGCCTGCTGCAGGAGCCTGGGCACCCCCCCAGGGGTCCACCGGAGGCCCAGAGGGTACAGAGGGTCTCCAGGGATCCCCAGAGGCTGGTGTGGGGGCCGGGCCCCCCCAGGGGTCTGCAGCTGGAACAGAAGGTGCCCAAGGGTCTGCAGTGGGGGCAGCGGTGGGTGCTGGACACCCCCAGGGGTCTGCAGCTGGGGGAGGCGCTGGGGCCGTGAAGACGTCAGCAAGGTCCATGAGCGACTGCACAGAGAGGGGCGTTAGGGACAGCGGGGAAAGGGCACATTTCTCTGCCTCCTGCCCTCCCCACATCCCCTCCTCGTGGCTCCCTCCCCACTACCCCCTTATACCCCCCTCCCTCTTGCCCCTTCTCACACCCCCTCCTCCTGGCTCCTTTCCCACGCCCACCTCCTCCTGGCCCCCTGTCTCCCGTTTGCTCTCCTCAATGGCCATCTGCAGCCTCAGGTCATCCCCACGGCGGATTCGCTCCTCCTGTGGGAACCGTGGACAGTGTCGGGCGGGGGATCCCGACCCAAGTCCCCCCCACCCTGGAGCCCTGGACCACCAGAACAGCTGGGGTGGACAAGGGTAGATGATGCGTGGGGGGACACACAAGGAGTAGAGGCCATGCTGCTCTGGCAAGAGCAGGGAGAGGACGACACAGCCCGCGGCTCCACACGCCGCTGGGGGATACGGGGAAAGGGGCGGGGGGGGCCTTGGGGGGGGCTCAGGGGAGCCCTGGGGGGGGAGGAAGGCTTCTCTGACCTTATCGTGCTCCTCACGGCTCAAACTAAGGGCCAGCTGGAGCTGGGCATCGTCCTCGGGGCCACAGGATGGGGGCTGGGGAGAGAGAGTGTGAGGGGCGAAACGCAGGCTGGGGGGGCATGAGAAGGTGGGGAGAGAAAATGAAGGAAGGGGGAAGGGGGAGGGGGAAGAGGGAGAGAGAATACGGGAGGGGCAGGGGAAGAAAATGAGGAAGCAGAAAACGAGGGGAGAGACAGAAGGAAGGAAGAGAGAATGGGGGGAGGGGAGAAGATGGGATAGGGAAAAGAGAAGCAGAGAGCGTGAAGGGGGCAGGGGGGAGCCCACACGTGTTGGAGCAGAATTGAGCCCGAGGTTCCGTCAGGACAGAGGACAGAGCAGCAGATCCCAAGGAGAAAGGGGAAGGTGAGGCGATGGCACAGGGGTGCGGACCTGTGGGCGCCCTACCTGGTCAGCCTCCTCCTTGCTCATGGCAAGTGCCAGCTGCAGCTGCAGCTCCTCCTCCCCGCTGCTCTGTGGCCAGGCCTGCTCCGCCTCCGCAGGGGGCCCGGAGCCCACAGCAGCTGATGAGGCTGCAAGAGAAAAGCAAGGGGGGGGGGGGGGAGGCTGCAGCTCCCGCGCCCTCCACCAGATGCCAGGGCACAGAGACAGGCAGAGCAAGGCAGGGTGCCAATCCAGCCACACCCGAGCGTGCCAGGGCCACAAGATAAAGAGGGATGGGCTCTGGGGGCTGCTGAGGGCACCAAAGTCCCTGTAGAAACCAGCGTGGACAGCAGGAGGTGGCCTAGGAGCTCTGCTCTGCCCCCCCTCCCACCCCCCAGTGGGGCTTCCAGACCTTTTTGGTTTGGGTTTGGGGCATCTGATTTCACTCAGGCACTAAAGCATACCAGGTGCAAGGCAGGCAGCTGCCCATTACCCTCACGTTGGCCTCCAGGATTTACTCTTTTTCGATGTGGCATCTGAAACTGTTATAGGTAGGATTCCTGCTTCCCACAGTCCAGCAGCTTCGGCAATGTTCTGAACTGGACCCTCCCAGAACCACCCTCAGGTCCCCAGCTCTCTGGCCCTGGGAGGGCTCACCCGTGGCCGTCTGCGCCAACTTCTCCTTGGTCTTAAGCGCGTGGGCACGCTCCTCCCGCAGCCGGTCCTCGTCCCGCAGCAGCGCCACTAGCTGCTTGGCCTTCTCCCGCACGTTGACACCCTGGTCCTTGCCATCTCGGTCCACATACTGGAAATCCTTCAGTGTCTGCACCGCGTACATGTTCTCCTTGCACTGCTGTGCAACACGCTCCGAGCCCGTCTTGATGAGGTACTCCATAAGGGTCATGGCCTGTGGGGACAGGCCATAGCCTCAGGCTCAGCACCCCATACACTCACCCCTCCCCACCCACACACAAACACACGCTCACCCGCACACACCCACACCCCTGCTCACTCACCTGCACCACATACATTCCCCTGCTCAACTCACATGCCCTCGAACACATACAATCCCCTGCACACATGCTCCGCTATACACACTCACCCCCTCATGATCACCCCTGCATATGCCTGTTGCCACACAAAGCAAGAAGTTCCTCGCCCAGAGCGGAGAAGCAGACGGGGGTGCGGCAGACACACCCCATATCAGGGAAGAGCACAAATTCACCGTCAAGGAGCCTCACCTCAGCAGAAGCCATGCAGCCCCGGAAGCCAGCCTGGTCCTGAGAGGTCAGCAGAGGCAGGGCCACGCTGCCCTGTGCACTTGCCCATCCCTACCAGTGATCCAGATACCTGGAACCATCACCCCAGCAGAACCAGCCCGACCACACCCACTTTCCCTCAAGTGCTAGCTGGACAAATGGCTCAGGGATGTGGCTCAAGAGGCAAAGTCCATTCCTGGTGTGTCAGTCAGGGGTGGTCCTGGGCATCCCCAAAAAGAAATGGCCTCACGGTGACCAGTGAGTACCCCCATCTCTGAGATGGGTATGAGAGCCCGTCTCAGCAGACTCCATTGACAGAGGGAAATATCACCTGACCTTCAGCCTGGCCACCTGGGAGATGAGGGCACCGCCCATTCAGCGTCCAAGGGACAAGGAACACACTCAGGACACACCCGGCTTCAGAGACACCCTATTCCATCAGCCCTGGCCACACTTGGGCAGGCCCTCTGCAAAGACTGACAGGAACTTGTCACACTGGGTCTCACTGGCCAGGCCACAGTCCCGAGAGTGCACTGTCACCTGCACTGGCAGGAACCCCTCAGGGGCCCTGGCCACACGCTTCAGTGCAGAGTAAGGCAGGACTCACCCCACTGCAAGGGTTGGCCAGTTGGGAAGAGCCTCTGATCACAACCCTCAGAACCGTACATGAGCCTTTTGATGTGGTATCCCACACACGTGTGTAAGAAAACAGCTGACCGAGACAAGCAATGGTGCCAGAAGCCTGTGGGGCTGCCAACTCTGTCTCGAAGAGCAGTATTCTGAGACTAGGTCTGACTTCCCTTCCCAAATGGGAAAGGTGCTCTGGTCAGCAAGGGCCCAGCTGCAGGTCCTCAGGCTGTCCTAGGGACCTGGCCTGGAGGCAGAACAAAGGGAGATCTGGGGCAGCCCCGGTACTAGGAGGCCCACATCTGACTGCCTAGAGAAGGTGGATGTTACAGGTGGCCCGAGAAGCCCAGAGATGTGGACACCAGCAGGCACCTGGACTCAAAGAAGACTGGTCCCTGCACAGTGACCCAGACCTTTGCCGGGAGCCCCAGAAGTAGAGCTTCTTCTGACCAGTCAGAGCACAGAGCTGAGACACTTGCCAGAGGAAGACATCCCCAGCTGAGGCCCGCACTGGCCAGAGACGTGCACCCAGTTCCCCCAAGACCTGCACTGACTGTATAGCTGCACCCCCAGTTTCCAAACCCCACTCTGATAGTGTAAATACTCCACGTGTGGCCCACACCAACCTTGTAGACGTGTCGCCAGTTCTTCCCGTGGTCATTGAGCCGCTTCCAGATCATGCTCATGATCTCAGAGAAGGCCACCACATTGTAGGTGAGGTCAGCGATCTCGGACATGAGTGAGCTGGATGGGCCCCAGGGGTCGTTACTTGTGGCCTCCCGGACCTTGATCTCAGCCTCTGAGTAGTTGTGCACAATGTTTTTCATCTGGCGCCGCAATGATGAGGTGGACATGGTGGCTGGCAGTGGCAAGGGGCACCCCCAGAGCAAGAAAAGACCAGGCAACCACAGCGGGGCCACAGAGGAGTTGGCAGGTCACCGCAGCATCTGGGGAGAAGAGAGCATCTGTGGAGCCTGGAGATGGGGCACACATAGGGACACTCCACTGTTGGGCTCCCACACGAGATCTGACACTTCTTGGGACTTGCTGGCCCCTTGTCAGCCCATCCCAAGTGCTTCAAGTGTGTCAGTCACTTCCTGCTCAGTCAGAACCGTCCAAGGGCACATTGCCAACTGTGCAAAGTAGCCAGAACTCCACTTTCCTCCTGTCAATAGGGGACCCCCTACCCAGCTGCTGTGACTTCATGTGATGTAGGCTGAGGCAGCAGTTCCTCTGGGACAGTGACAAGGGTGCTCTAGATAGTTTTTCCCAGAAGTGCTGGCTTAAAAAAACACCTCAAAAGGGTGTGGGACAGAAAGGAGGAGCCTCTAGAAGAGGTTCTGAACATGGTGACTCAGGGCAGTCAGTGAGAGTTGCGAGGAGTGAGTGGGATGCAGGAGCCAGTGACCACAGATCCTATGGGTCAGGGGCGGAGAGGACACGGTCCCACCTATTGGGTCCTCCTTGTGGTTCCCACATCCACCTACTGCCCTTCCAGAGTTGCTAAGCGTCCCCCACTTCAAGTTCTTCAGGGAACAGAGCCTCACCCCCCCAACCCGGCACCAGGGGCCACGAAACCCTGGGCTGTGCTGCCAGCAGGAGTCCCAGCAGGGCTCCCCAGGCTTATTACTAGCCCCCCCCCCCCCACACACACACACCGGCCTTGAGCCCAAATCCCAGCTGGCACGGATTGCCCCCCTCCTTCCCAGCACCAGGATGGGTGGAGATGGAGAGGGAGGGGCTGAGTTCACCCTTGACCCACATCCCAGGGGAGGTGGCGGCCACGGCTGGAGTCCAGGATAGCGGGGCACAAACACCGCAAAGCAGAGACAGGGGTGGGGAACAAGAGGGTCGGGAACTGGACACCTGCAGAGGGTCGCAGTCGCACCACCACCCGAAGCTGCATCTCGGACTTGTCCCGAACTATCGGGCCAGCCAGGGTAGCCTGCCATTGCCAGGGGCGTCGGCAAGCGGGGGGGGGGGGGGGCGGCAGCGCACCATCTGCGCCGGCGTCACGGCCACTGCCCAGCCCCGGCCCCGCGGGGGTCCCCCGAGGGGATTGCTGGAGCTGGTCGGCAGCGGAGTGGGGCTCAGACCGATCCCGGCTGCCGCGGACGTCGCCGGGACCCCGAGAGTCAGGCGCCCAGGACGAGGAGCAGCGGGCCGAACCGAAGGAATGGCGCGCTTGAGCCCACACGCCGGCAGCACAGGCCGCCCGGTGCCACCACACAACGGCCGCGCCCGACGGCGACTGCGCTCACCTCGGCCCCTCACGCCGGGCTCCAGCGGGTCATGGCGGGCGACGCTGCCCCGCTCGGCGCGCTGTAGCGGGGCGAGTCCGGGCGCACGCGAGGCCGCACGCCCACAGCCCCGCCGCCCCGCCGCCCCAGGGCCGCGAAGGGAGCTGAGCCGCCGAGAGGACGGGAAGCAACCAGGAGCGACGGACCGGAAGCGGAAGTGGCGGCTCGCCCGCCCCTCACCGCACGGTCGCGCGCACATCACTTCCGGCGCGGTGGCGTGACGTCAGCCCTGCCAGCCGCCGAACGCACCGTGACTCCCACCCATTCCTGAGGTTACCGACAAGCACGGGACAGAGCAGGCGCACCGTGTAAAATACAACAAAATGTTTAATGAGCAAATTCGTCTTAGCAAATATGAAACTGCCAATGAGGGGGCCAGGCCAAGGCGGGAGTGGGGGCACTAAGAATTAACTAAGAAATCAGGGAGGGCCGGGGGCCAGGGGCAGGGCACCGGGCAGGCAACAAAATTTAAAATATTTTGGCCATAAAATATAAACACGCTTTTTTCTACAGCCGGGAAGTAAAGGGGGGGTGGGGTGTGGGGTGTTGGGGAGAGGCTGTTGTGGGGAGGGGCGCCAGCGGCCCCATTCTGCCCTGCCCGTCTGTGTACCCCTCCCAGCCCACCCCGACCCTCTGCGTCTGTGGGTACTTGTCATGTGCACTTCCCCAGGCCCCCCTCCCCTCCCGCCCCCCCCCCCAATGCTGCCATTCCAGTTGCTGCCGGCTGTTGATCGGTGTCACTCCTCTGCCCGTGTCTTCAGAGGGGGAAGAGGGGGGGCAGGGGAGAACCCCCTGCCAGCCCAGCCCCACCCTCCCCACACCTCTACCAGAAGTCCCGACGGTGGTAAGAGTCGGGGTCACAGTACTTTGTGACAACCACTCTGTTGGCGAACTTGCGCCCTGTCAGGCCCTGCATGGCTTTCTGGCAGTCAAACACAGATGTGAACTCCACAAAGATCTGTAGGAGGAAGAGAGGCTGTGGCCACCCATCCACTGCACACCCCCAAATGCCCAACTCCCAGGAAACAGTGCAGGGTCGTTCCCTGGAACTGATGCTCAGGGGACACCATACAGTCCATTAACACACTCAACCCTCATCACCAGTCTACAGTCACAACTTGGGGATCCCCTGAGCAACCATGGCCATCGGCTGTCCTCCCAGTCCCGCCCCACATATTTCATGTCCCCACAGGACTCTGGGGTGGGTACTGTATGGCAACATCTCCCCTGCTGCCTACCTTCCCAGATGCCCCAGAGACCCTGCTCTGCTCGAATACCTCCACGTGCCACTTCCCTCTATACCCTCTTTAAGGTATCGAGTCTCCCCGGTCCCTCCCGGGTACCTGCAGGAGACCCCAGGTTTGCAACCAGGCTCCCCTGACCTGCCACTCTCACCAGCACCATGTTCTCATCTCCAGCTAAGCCCACCACCAGCCTTAGTCCTAACTGAATGATGCCCAGAGCTGTTTTGTTCCCAGAAGTGCAGCCCACCTGTGCTGAGCACCCAAGTCAGCCTAACTCAGTGGAAGCTCCCTCCAAGACAGGAGCCAGTCGTGGTAAGCAGGGGCTGGGGCTGGGGCTTAGGCTGAAACCGCGGTGGGGTCCTGGGACAGGCTGGGGTGCACGCACCTTCCCACAGCCAGGCACCTCGACGCCATCCACAGGCCGGGGAATCTCGATGGACTTGACCAGCCCGTACTTGCTGCACTCATCGCGCACATCCTCCACGATCTCCTCATACTCCTCGTCGTCCAGCAGCTCCTCAGGCAGCACCATGTTCATGAGGCACAACACCTCGGTAGGGTGCCCACCCATCTGTACCTGCGAGCTCATCAACCCTGGCACTTGCAGCGTCACTGGCGTCTGATTGATGGTGCTCTGTGGGGCCAAGGCCACGGTCAGCTGGGACTCCTGCACCCGGGCCCCCCGCCCCACCCCAGCCCCCGGAGCCAGCACTGCTCAAAGCCACACCCCCGCGCGCCCCCCGCTAGCCAATGGAAGGTGACGTGCCGGGGGGCTCACCAGCGTGGCGTTCTTGGCCCCCACACTTGCCCTCTGCACGAGGAGTTTCTTATCCCCCAGCTGCATTCCGTTCAGCCCCGCGATGGCCTATGTCGGAGGACGAGGGGGGGCGCAGGGAGAGGCCTCGTCAGGGCCGGCGCTCGGCACCGCCCCCGGAGCCCCAGGACCCCACAGCGGCATGGGTGGGGAGAGAGAAAGGCAAAGGGGTGAGAGATGGGGAAAAGCCACCCCCCACCATTACACCCACTGCCTGTCCTGAAAGGGCCATCAGGGCTCACCTGGTCGGTGACGTTGATGTCCACGTACTCACAGAAGGCGTAGCCCTTGGAGAGCCCTGTGGCACTATCCTTGACCAAATTGAAGGCCTTGAGGGGCCCGAATGACGTCAGCAGCTCTTTGACCTACAGCGGAAGGGGAGGGTCAGTAGGCAGGAACCATCAGCAGGCAGGGAACATCAGTGAGAGAGCGGGCGGGGGGGGGGGGGGGGGTCGGGTCAGGTAGTTGGGAGGCCCACCTGGTCATCATTCAGGTAGTTGGGTAAGCCCCCGATGAACAGCTTGTGGGCCGAGTCAGGGACCACAGTGGACACAACACCTAAGGAGGAAGAAGGGTCATATGGTCTGCTCCGACGGGGCCCTGACGGGGAGCCCAGCCCCCATGACATGCCCTGTCAGGGTATGCTGGCTCGCACCCTGGGGGTCCAGGCGAGACAACCCGTTCTGGAGCGAGAGTGCAGCCTACATGCCCACGGATGATTAGGGAAGGGAAGGGAAGGGCGAGTCCCGGCTCTGTGACCAACATTACCCTCACTAGTGAGACGCACATTTGGGAAAAGCGGCTACCAACACTCAAGACTACCTGCATGACGGACATCAGGGTAAGGGGCCCGGGGCCAACACCTCCGCTCACCTCTGCTATGCGAGCCCTCAGCTGGAGGTCTGGGAGCCAGCCTGGCGCTGCCATGGCCCTAAGCCTGGGGCAATGCCAGCAGAGGTGCCAGCCGGGAAGTGGAGCTGCTATCCTGTCTAGGGAAGCCCACCCTCTGCTGGCTTTTCAACAATGTGTAGCTAAGGCAACATCTGGGTTTTTGGAAACGAAACTACAAAAATCCGATTTATAAAACCATGAAAACGACGGGAACTAGAAAACATGTCAGAGATAGAATCCATCCTACTCCACTACCATCTCGGGCAGGCCTGTCCCTGGGGTGGGTGGCAGAGCACATGGGCCCACTCACCGGGTACATAGACTGAGGGGTTCTCCGACATGCCCGGCAGGGGCTGGTAGTCGTGGGGCCGGCGGATCTTCAGTGACTGGCCTTGGAAGATGATGCCATCAAAGGCCATGGCCTGGGTTGTCTCGTCCACTGAGCGGAACTGGAAAGGCAGGGAAGGGCAGTGAGAGCTGGAAGGGAGGCAGCAGGGCACCGTGACAGTAGCCCCTGCCCGATTGCTACACTGACCTCTAGGAAGGCAAAGTTCTTGTCCTGGTTAATCTGCACAGCCAAAACCGGGTTGCCTGGGGCCTGAGTCAGTCCCCCCAGCCGCATCTGGGCGTTGAAGAAGTCCATCATGGCTTCCTGCAGAGGAAGAGGAGACGGGGAGGGGAGGGAGGGGAGAGAGGAGGGGAAGGGTGAGAGAGGGAGACACAGAGGGGTGTGGGGGAAGGGACAGGGAGCAGCATGGGGGGGGAAGAGGTCAGCAGGAGGAGAGAGGGAGGAGCAGGGAGGTGTTGACAGGGGGTGTCAGAGGCCCAGAGGGACAATGAAAATGGAGAGAGAGAATCCCACAAGGAAATGAAAGGGCAAAGGGAGAAACAGAAGAATCAAGGGACAGAGACAGAGCCGGGAGGAGAGGACGGAGGAGAAGCACGAGGAGGAGCAGGGAGAGGGAGGAGAGCGCAGGGGGCAGGGCGGGTGGGGGGGGCAAGGAGGGAGGGCGGGTGGGGGAGGAGGGAGGAGAAAAGAGTGATGTGGAGGATCTGGCCCTGGAGTCCGGGGGCTGGTTTATCAAATGTAGCAAAGTGCAGGTTGAGAAAGTCAGAATGGACCTTACTTGCCTTAGACGATGGTAGCAAACTTTGTTGCTACGAGGGATCTCAGCCCCACAATATTTCACTTTAAAGAGAAATGGAAACAACTCTTTGATCTCGGGATTCTTGGGGGGCCAGGGGAGGGGGAGGGGAGGAGCGGAGGGGAGGTGAGGGAGGTCGGGAGACCAGGGGGAAAGGCAGACGGCAGAGGAGGAGAGTGTGAGAAAGCGTCTGAGTGTGTGTGTCGAGTCTCCCTCTCTGTCTCTGTCTCGCTCCACTGATAGGCTCCACTGATAGGCTCATGTCAGAGCAGTGTGGGGGCTGATGTGTGCTGAGCCCTGGGTGGCTGAGGAGGGCAGACAGGAGGGGAAGAGGAGGGGGAGAGGGCCACCCCCAGCCCGGCCCCTGGCTGGCTCGACTCCAACGGTCCATCTGGGAGGGGGCCGGGGGGTTGCAGGAGCAGATTCTGACCCGTGCAGGCGAGGGTGGGAGGGTGGGCGGGGAGGACAGGGTTGGGGGAGGGGGCGGGAGGGAAGGGAAGACCATTACCTCAGTGATGCCGAAGGGGATGTTGCCCACGTAGAGGCGCCGGGCCTGCCTGGTCATCTGGCTGCCCACCACAGGCACTGGGGTCGGTGTTACAGCCAGGCCGTCGGGGGTCATGGTGGGGAGCAGGGCTGTGGCTGGAATCTGACCGGCAGCTTCAGGGGGATGGAGCAGGATGAGATGGCATCAGGCCCCACATGCAGGCTCCTGTGATCCCCACCTCTCATGCCCTGTACTGCTTCCCCCCATCCACTACTTCCCTCGCATGGCCTTATACGGACCCCCACCCTGCATGGGCTTGTACTGCCCCCCCTGCACCCCCCACCTTGCATGGCCTTGTACTGCATGGGGGTGATGTGCTCGAAGCCAGGGGGTGGCACATCCCAGTACTTGCGAACCTTCTTCTTCTTCTCATGGCGGGGGGAGCGGCTAGGAGGGAGCAAGGCCAGGTACCTTAGTCTGGAAGCGCCTTTAAGGGCCCCTCAACCCCCAAGCCCCCCCCCAACCTGGGTCAGGCAAGGCAGCAGGGAGGAGGCAAACAGGAATGGGGGGCTCACATCAGTCCGCCGTGCTCCTCCTTAGCGCCTCGGGTCAAGGGCTTGCTGGGGGGAGAAGACTCGGCCTGTGAGGCCGCCCACCAGCCCACGCCCCCTCCCCCCACGGCCACCCAGACCAGGGGACAGAGCCCACCCGCACCTCCGCCGCCGCCGGTCCCGAGAGGCACTGCGCTGATCCCGGTTGCGCCGGTCGCGGCTTCGGGAACGGCGTTTGCGGTCACGGCTTCGAGAGCGGCTGTGGCTGCGTTTGCGGTGCCGGTTCTCCTTGTCCCGCTCTGGCAGGGGGCGGCAGGGCTGAGCGGGAGGGACGACGTGCGGCCCAGCCCGCCCCCCTGCAGGTGCCCCAGCCCCGGGAGGCCACCCCCGGGAGGGAGCCGGGGCCGTTACCTGAGGGGACAGAGCCTGGGGTGCTCGGGGTGTAAGGTACCTGAGGCCGCTCAGGAGGAGTCGGGGAGCCAGAGAAGACAGGGAGGCTGGCTCCGGGTCCCCCTCCAGGCTGAGGGGCCGACCCCAGGGCCGTCCCTGACAGGGGCAGAGCTAGAGGCTGGGGAATCAAGAGACCCAATGACGTTCCCTGAGGAACAGGGCCTCTGCAGAAGTAGGGGGCAGGAGGTGCTGGCCCCGCCCCTGCCCAGCCCTGCACCCCCACCACAGCCCAGACCAGCAGCTGGGTCTTGGGATCGCCCGCTCGCGCCCACCACCAGCGACTCCAGAGGGCTCCAGCCTGGCCAGTGGCCCCGAATGCGGCTCGGCGGAGGCCGTACCGCCCCCGGCGGACTTCAGAAGAGACTTAGGTGGGAGAGCACAAACCCTGGGGGTCTGCGGCGAGCAGAGCTCAGGCCTCGGTCAGCACTAACCAGGGGTTGACTGAGGGACAGATTGTCCGGACACTAACACGGTGGCAGACAGGAGCCACCCAAGCGCGCGGACCCCGCGACAAGGACACCCGCCCTCATTCCAGAAACGGCTCTGCTGCTCCTCTCTCAAGCGCGGGGACGTGAAGGTGCCTCCTCGGCACCTCCCGAACCCTGCCCTTACCCCAGCCCGGCCAAGGACAGGCCACCATCAAGGCGAGGGAACCCCATCTCCTGCGCCCCGGCTCCGACGGGTGGCTATCCACCCGGAGAAGCGCGCAGAGTGTGGCGACGTCTGCGGACACCAATCACCGCGGGGCAGAGCGGCAGCCCCAGGGGCCCTGAGCCTCCGTCCCTGCATCCACACCGTGAAGTCGGGCCGAAAGGGAGACATGCGAGGCGGGATGCAGAGCGCGCCCGACCCACGTGAAAGGACCCCGCAGCCGCCATTTTGAAACAAAGGGGCGTGGAGAGCGGGCACAGGCCCGGCCGGAAGCGGAAGTGCCGAGGCCGCGGGAGAAAAAGGAGCGATGGCGAGCGCCGCTGCAGACGCTGGGGGTCACTTGGGAAGAAGCAAAGGGAGGAAGAAGCCGTGCGCGCTTGAGGGCCCGGCGAGGTGCCCGGGAGGCGACCGCCCCCGCGGAGGCCACGTGGAGCGCGGGGCGCGCATGCGTCCCGCACGCGCCTGCTGCCCCCCCCCGCACAGCGCTGGGGCCCGCCGGACGGTCACGTGGGCGAAGCGCGCTCGGGGAGCTAAGGGGGGGTTTCGGCGCAGGTCTGAGACCGGGGGGGAAGCCAGAGGAAAATGGCGCGGGGCACCGAAAGAAGCCGCGAGCAGCCGCGCCCGCCGCCCCGCGTCCCCGGCACCCTCACCTTGCTTGTTCTCGTTGAGCTGCCGCTCGAACTCATCGAAGTCCGACATGTTGAGGCGGCCGCGGAGGGCCCCGTGCAGCTCTCTCTCGGCCTAGCCGCCCGCCCGCTCCGGCCGCTTCGGCTACTTCCGCCGCTCGCTTCGGCTACTTCCGGCCGCCGCCGGCGCGCCGCCGCCTCCCACCTAATCAAGGCCCGGGCAGCCCGCCCGCCCGCCCCAGCTCCGCCCTCTGCCCACCCACCCGCGAGCTGGCCCGCCCCCGGAGCCTGGCGGCTGGACGCCTCGGCTCTCTCCGGACAGTGGAGGGCAGGGGTCGGGAGAGCACGGCTGTGGCTGCTTCCGAAAAGGTCCGAGGCAAGAGCTTCGCCGGTGTCCCAGGCCTTCGTAACTTTCCGGAGTTGAGCGCCTCAAAGTTCGGGTGCTTCCGTATGTCCTCGTCTTCCTCTGAGCCAGCCCCCTCCCTCCCAAACACAGGTTCGGCTTCTTCCGACAATGCAAACCGTCCCTGCCCTGTGGTCGCTTCCGCAGATTTTCCCTGGCTTCACCGTCGCGGTGCAAGCAGTAGGCCACTTCCGACAATCCTAACCGTCCCGGACTTCCGCCTTTCCGGATGTTTCCGGCACTTGCCCTCGGGCCGCGGCGGAGATTAAGCGCGATTCCAGACTTCGGCTCTTTTCGGACACGCCACTCACTCACTCCTCCCCTCTGGCACAACTTCGGCTCCTTCCGCCAGCGCTTCGGAGAAGTCTCCCTCGCGAGGACCGCTTCGGCTTTTTCCGTCGGGCGCTTCGGCTCCTTCCGGCTTCGGGCACCGTAAAGGGAGGGAGGACGGAGGCGAGGTGGGTCAGGGGAAGGGATACGGGGAAAGGGCGGGATCCCGGCTCTCGGCACCTAGCCCTCCCGCTAGGGAGAGCGGGACGGGGGGCAAGAAAGACCGATCTCGCAGAAGGCGCCAGGAAATTGCGCGAGTGAAAAGTAGAGAGCGAGGTGAAGGGTGCGCGCGGCTGCTGCGGAGGTTGCCAGCGCGGTTTTGTGCGCCTGCGCAGGAAGGAAGCGGCGGGGAGCGAGACGGGGTTGTGCGCCTGCGTGGAGGTTGGTCCTTGGGTTACACGGCCCCTAGGGCGCGTGCGCTAGATTTTCCCTTCCTACGGTGAAAGGTACTTAATTCCCAACCGTTAAGCGAGGGCGCCCCCTCCTGGTTGCCGTGGCAACTGCGTAAGCGCGCACGCGTTGCCCTCTCCGCGCAGGCGCAGCAGGCGGCTTGGCGGCCACATTAGTGAGTCGGCTCGTAGACTTTATCGCTTCCCGGCTTGCGGCGCTTGGAAATGCCCCCTTCTGCCAGCCGGCCACCCGAAACACCACCGTAGGTCCAGTTCAGATGACTGGTGGTGTGGCGTCCACGCCCCTTTTCGGAGCGGCCTGGAGTCCGCGGGGCACAGCTGCTTCTGCTCCCGGCCACCCCCTCTCCTCCAGGAGGCTAATTACACCCTGTCATCCCCGTCTCCCCGTCCCCGCCTGGCCGACGTCTGCCTGAAACCCCTAGCGCCCCCGTCGCCGTGGCAACGGCCACCCCTCCCCGCGAAGAGACCAAGTCCTAACTTACTCCAAATTTTATCGTCTCTCTTTAATTTAAACTCTGAATAACTCTCTCATGGAAACTCGGAGGTGGCCCCAAAATGCGGGAGGGGAGCTGCAGATGGGGCCGGCCAGCCGCCCCACGGGCTGAGCACATCATGAGACGCGCCCCAGCCCTGGAGAGTCCGCAATGTGCGTGGGGACGTGCGAGGGGGCAGTGTCTGGGGAGGGCAGAAAGGGCCCCTGGGCTGAGGCGGGGGCTGGCAGGGCCGCCGGGAGATCACCGCTTGAAGCGATAGGTGATGGGCAGCAGCAGCTTGCTCTTCTTGAGGGCCTGCACCTTCTTGAGTGTCTCGTCATCCAGCGCCAGGAAGCAGCGGCGCGAGTACTCGAGCAGGCGCTCCTTGGAGGGGTCGAACTCACCCACCTCCGCCAGCTTCTCTGGGGCCACAATGAGCAGCTCAGCGATGGGCGTGGTGAGCGCCACCGTGTTGCGGTCTACCCGGTGGTGCTCGAAGGCCCGAGACATGCTCTTTAGCTTCTGGAAGGTGCCCAGGATCTTCTTATAGCGACAGAGGACTCCATCAGCGTCCTTCACTGCAGGGCGGGGAGTGGGGAGTAAGGAGGGACCGCAGAGTGGGGCTGACAGGAAGGCTGGGGCACCCGGCAGGTCCAGAGACAGGCACAGTCCGTGACAGTAGGGAGGAGAGCCCAGAAAGGCTAGGAAAGAGCTCCCAGTTCCACCTCATTACTGATGGGGAAACTGAGGCTGGGGTGGGGGTGTTCATGCTGGGAAGGTGACAACTGGACCACAACCGGGCTGGGGCAAGGGCACATTTCCATCCCACCCTCCCTTCACTCACCCCGCTGCCTCTCCCTGGCCTTGGGCTTCCCAAACCGCCGGCGCCCTGCGCTGCTCTTCTGCTTGAGCCGTTTCCTGTCACCAGTGCCTGCATCCTCTGATGCACCGCTGAGCGAGGAGGCAGCGGACTCAGGGTCCGAGGCCTCAGCCACAGCTCCACCGCGGTTGTCCCCCTCGGTCCGCCGAGGGCCCGGTTTCACCCTGCAGTGGTCCTCTGCAGAAATGGGGAAGAGACCAGAATAAGCTGAAGGCCAGGACGTGGGGACACGCACAGGAGTGGTGGGTGCAGGTGGCGGCTAGGGCAGCAGCGAGGCACCCATTAGCGTGGGGGACTGCAGAAGTTGTCCCCGCAGCCCAGGCCTGAACATAGAGGCTTCACACACAGGTAGGAGGCTCCAGCCCCTGGCAGAGAAGGTGGGGTCAGATCAGACACGCTGCTCACCTGTATCCATGCGGGCAGAGGAGATGAACTTGTCCAGCTGGCAGCGCAGGAAGTCCCGCTCCTCCTCCAGGTCCTCGATGCGCTTCTGCAACCAGGAGTTCCTCTCCAGGGCCATGTGCAGCTGCGCACGCACCCCATTCATCAGCGCCACTGTGGGGGACGTGGGCTCCTGGGGCTCTAAGGACAGTACTATAGTGAGGCCCTGGTGAGTCCCGAGTCCTGCAGCCCTGACCCTCCCCTCATCCCCCACTCACCCTCGAAGTTTCCCCGAGAAGGGCTCAGGCTGTAAAAGATCTGTGGGTCTAGGTGGGGTGTCTCATCGAACGGAATGGAGATCTCCAAGGCCTCATAGTCCTTCTTCACTGGAGACGAGAAACCAGGGGTCACCCAGGGCAGTGCGCAGTCGCCCCCCACCCCAGGCAGGCACTGGAGGGGGGACCAGTTTCCTCACTTGACCTCCGGCTGTTTCGGTCATTCATGGTGTGGCCTCGGGGGACCCCAGGCAGGGAGCACTTCGGGGGTCCTGGACAGAAAGAGCAGCCACTGCTGGGTGTCTCCGTGACTGCTCTGGAATGGGGGGGGGGGGCCGGTCCCGACACCAGGGCTCCCCGTGAGGGACAGACCCTTAGGAGGGCCCCCTCTCTTGCCAGCCCAAAAAGGACAGGGTGACGCCTAACTTCTCAGCATGGGGTGGGGGGTTTGGCCCACGTGCTGCGCCTCCCCACCCCCGCCGGTGCCCTCTCCCGCACTCGTGGGCGAGCAGGGCCCCTCCCCGTATCGGGGGAGGGGGCGGAAATGAGGGGGTGGGCGCGTGCGCAGTACGGAGGAAGGTCACGCGTGAAGATGCGCCCCCCCGCCCCCGCCTTTTGTTCTGGGTGGGAAGGGGAGCAAAGCTGGCGATGGCCCCTGCGGGAGATGCGCCAGGCCGCGGGTGCAGACGCGGCCACCCTCTGTCTCACCGCGGACGCCCGGGATCTGAGAGGCCCGGGCCGCGCGATCACCCACCCGCGTGCGAAATCTCGCCCCGCGAACAGCAGCGGCAGCGCCGCCTTTGCTCAGCGCCGGGGAGCGTCTGAAAAGAGTCGTGGAGAGTGGAGGAAGAAGCCGGCGACTGGCGCGGCCGGCAGGGCGAGGATCGGGGGCCGAGCGGCCTTCGGCTAGAACGCCGACACCGGGCTGGCGGATCCTGCAAGCCGCTTCCAAGAGTCCGAGCTCGCTGTCTGCGGAGGAGGCTGGTGCCGCACTTGCGCGATGGCCCCTTACAGCTCCCCCCCTCCCCCTTCCCCCGACGCCCAAGCAGGGAGCATCACGAAATTTCCACGCCAGGAGCGCGCCACTGGGGGTGGGGGAGAGTGAGTCTGACCGCTCCTGGGAAAGCTGAGTGCGGAAGACCGCAGGGGGATACACTAAGTGAAATCTTGCAGTGCCAGCTTAGTTGGCTTTTTCATTCCCTCGCCGGCATCTCAGCAAGCTGAATCCGTTTTCTGGGGGCAAGTAACCTAAGGTCCCAGAAAATGGGGCCTAGACACCACCCCGCTCTTTCTGGGTCACTCAGCCACAAGAACCCACTTGTAAAGGGGCAGTAGTCTGATGCAGTAGGCAGGTCCCCTGGCCTGTGGAGACACAAGAGACACAGGAACCGACACCTCCTTGGGAAGCAGATGTTTACTGAGCCTGCTGTGTGCCTCTCTCTGCCCAGCATCCTGCAAAAGGCAGTGCCTGCCCACCTTGCCTCCCCCCACGTAAATTCGCATTTTTAAACTCCAGGTTCATGGGCCCAGAATTAAATCTAGCATTGTAGCCAGAAATTTAGGAACAGAAATTAAGTCTGTGCTCGGAACTGGGCTGGAGCGATAGCACAGCGGTAGGGCATTTGCCTTTGCACAGCCAGCCTGGCTGAGCTGGATTCGATTTTTCCGCCCCTCTCAGAGAGCCCAGCAAGCTACCGAGAGTATCTTGCCTTCATGGCAAAGCCTGGCAAGCTACCTGTGACGTATTCAATATGCCAAACACAGTAACAACAAGTCTCAAAATAGAGATGTTACTGGGCCCACTCGAGCAAATCGATGAACAACGGGAGGACAGTGTGTGTTTGCTCTGAACTGGGCAGAGGTGCCTGTGCCTGTGTCCCGAGGGAGGGTCCAGCATATGTGAGAGGTGTCCCAGTGATTGGAAGCAGATTTTGAAGCACTGCTAAGCGCCCCGTGCAGTGTGCAAGAGGGCTAAGCTGCTCGCCTCCAGCAACCTGAGCAGAGTGCTCAGTGTCAACCCTATTTAGGGGACACGGTGTCAGGCTGGATTCCTTGGGAAGAGGGTATGTCTTGTCCTGCCCCCCCCACTTCACTTCCAACTACCCCCAAAGTCATGACCTGGTTGGCTGTGGAAAAAGGGGAGTCCGTGGGCACATCCCCCTTCTGGGGCCCTGACCAGGATGGACTTCCACAGGGTATCTGAGGCCAGACTCCCCCATGCCAAGATGCGCAGAGCACCCCGCAACCTGGCTCGAGTGCTTACAACCCATGTGCTTCTGCAGCATATACTGCTCCATTAAACAGTGCAGGCACTGGAACGGCTCTGGGCCAGCTCTCCCAACCCTCCTGCACGGTGGATGGAACATTGCAGCACCAGGTGGCTGGCCCGCTTGAACACCTTCCCGCAGGTGTCCACGTGAAGGGCTTCACCTCCGAGTGAGTGATGCTGTGTCGCTGCAGGTACAATATGTATACCCAAACACCCGTGAGCACACCGAGCAGGTGTAGCACTTTTTCTGAGCAGAAGTACCCTCAGCCACTGGCTCCCTCAGGGACTCCGTGCCCATCAGTGCGGTGTACAGGACATCGTGCCCATCAGTGCGGTGTACAGGACATCCTGCGTGTCAATGAGAAGGTAGTGGTTGGGTCTCCGGGGTAAGTCAGTGGAAGAGGAAGGTCCAGCTTCTGGGGACCAGCCTGTCCGAGGGGGTGGAACCTCCATGGCTTCAACCTGGGGACTTGCTGGAGCCCAGGGCCTGGGGGGCGGCAATACCCGCATCCAGAGGAGTGGCAAATCCTGACAAGGGGAGAAAGGACCCTATGGGCTGCCCCATACACGCACATCGTGTGCCCTGCTTTGGGCACCTGCACCCCATGCATCCCCTTTCCAGCACGTGGATGATCTGGGCTCAGGGCCAGTCGTTAGGGGAGGCTCACAGGTTCTCCTAGGGAGAGTGGCCCAAGCCCTAAACCCATGGGAGTTCTTTCCCCTCAAAGACCCTTCCTCTGATTGCCCGCAGGGCAGCCTGAGGTCCCACCCTACAGTCCTCAGGCTTCTCATCGGCCCTGGGAGTCAGCCCTGTGTGTCTGCCCAGAGAATTGCCTTCCTCGAGGCATAAGTGGCATCCTAACCCTCCAGGGTGCTTGCCAGGTCCCCTGCGGATCCCTCCCCCTACACTTCTCAGCACCCCTGCCCAGTACCCTGTGCAACAGCCTCCCAGGTCCAGGTGACTCCAGCCTGGCCCTGGAAACCTCCGGTAGCTGCAAGTGGCACGGAGGTGCGCCCACGTGTCCCCGGGGAACTATGGGCATGGGGACAGCGGACCAGGGAGAGAAAAGAGGGTCCCAGAGAGGAAGGTGAGGGCCCAGGCCTTCTTGAAAATGGCTCCTACGGGAAACACGCCCCGAGGTGACGGTTCCGAGGGGCAGGTGGGCCAATCAGCACGGGTCTCCAAACCTGCCTGTTACCCCAGGCCCCGACGCAGAGACTCACATCAGAGCCGGTGGTGGAGAGCGGAATGTTTATTCAGTGAAAGGGAAGAGGGGCGGGGCAGAGATGAACCGGCCCTTACGCTTTTGTCATTCTTCAGCCTAGGCTCAGAGAGACAGGGCGGCTCTCCGAGGCGCACACAGCACTGAGGCACTGGAACCCGGTTCCGACCGTCTCCTAGACCCAGGCAGGAACAAGGACCTGGTCTGCATCGCACAGCTAAGGAGAGAGGACGAGAGGGAAGGAAGGAATGTTTCTCCCTGTGGGTAGCTAGGCGGGGAAACTGAGGCCCGGAGTAAGGCAGTAACCAGGGCGGACTGGCCGGGGTGGGCCCTAATGCAGGCGCACGTGCTGCGCCAGCTCGGCGGCATCCTGGAAGCGGCGCGGGCAGAGCGGGCAGGTGTGCGGCGGGCGGGCGCGGTGCGTGGCGCGGTGCCGCGACAAATGACTGGAGCGCTTGAAGGCCTTGCCGCAGGCACCGCACGTGAAGGGCTTGAGGTCTGAGTGCGACACGCGGTGGCTCTGCAGCCGCAGAGGGCTGGCAAAGACGCGGGCACACTCCGGGCAGCTGTAACCCTTGCGGGGGCCAGGCTCTCCCGGGGGTGCCTCGCGCTGGGGCGGGCCCCGGGGCTCCTCCTCCAGCTGCACCGTGTACGTGTAGGGGACCCCGTTGGCGTCGATAAGCAGGTGGCGGCCCAGCCGCGGAGGCCGGGGTCCCGCCGCCGAAGGAGTGGAGGCAGGGCCTTCCGTCTTGGGGAAAGGGGGAGCCTTGGGAGGCGGCGGGTCCATGGCCTCTGGGGAGGAGGACCGAGGGTTGGGGGGACGCGGCGGCAGCAGCAGCATCTGGAGCGGCAGCTGGGGGGCAGCGGAGGGGAGAGGAGTTAAAGGTCGCCCGCCACTTGCTCCACGCTGCTTGTCACCCGCTCCGTGCCTATGTCCCCTACACAGAAGAAAGCGCCTGCAGGTCCGGAGTCCGCTGAGCTCCACTCCTCTGCTCCAGCCTCCCGAGCCGGCCAGGCCTCCCAGCGCTGCTCCCTGCAACCTGCGCCCCCCTATTTTCCTCTCCAGAATATGGGCTGAGCCCCACTGACATAGTTCCCCACTTCGCTCAGTGCCCACATCCTACTCCCCACGTCGGTGTCACCTCATCGCTATGGCAGCCTGCCATGGAGGGCCCTGGGCCCCTGCACCTTGCTCCCCGGGGCCCCATCTACTTCCCCGGCATTGTTTTGTATTCCCACTGGTTATACGCGCCCGACCTCCGCCCGCCGCTCTTAGCCAGCACGATACCCCACACTGCCTGCCAGGGCTCCTGCCCCTTCCCACGGCACCCCGGGCTTCCCACTTCTGCACGGAACCCCGCCATCCGCAAGTCCAGCGGTGCACCCGATGCCACCGCCTCGCCCAGTGCCGGCGGCCCCTCCCTCGCGCCGCCGTCCCGGAGCCAGGCTCCTCCTTCCATCCCGCCCCCCGTACCCGGTGCGACGGCCTCCCGGTTCGGAGCGACGGGCCGAAGTCCCGGGCGGCCCGGGCTTGCCCTCGCGAGAGGCGGCGGCGGCGGGGCCGAGACTTCCGGCAGCTCCGGGCCAGCGGCGCCGGGGACGCGGGGGGCGCGGGCGTGGGGGCGCGAAGTGCGGCGGCGTCCCTGGGAAAGACGGCCGGGCGGAAACGCGCCCTCCTACGAGGGTTCCGCCAAGGGGGGGGGGATCGTGGGCGGGGCGGCGCGGGACCCACCCCAACAGCCCGCCGCTCCTGGAAAGGGCCGTAGAGGACAGCGGCCAGCAACAGGACTGGCCCACGCCCAGTGCCACGGGCGAGGCGATGTCTCCGTGGGTATGACACCGATATTTGCCATCCTGTGGCACAGCCCTGACTCTGCCTCCAAGCAATGCAGACTGAAGGCCGAAGGCTCGGAATGGGAAATGGAAGGTGGTCGTGTCCTCCCCCTGGGGACCTGAGGAAACCGAAGCCCTGGGGAGTGGCAGGGGAATGACACTTTCCCATGAACCAGCTGGGCAAGCTGAGGCCTGAGCCTGGTCTGGTAGAGAGATGGTAAGGGGCGCGACCACCGCACATTGAAGCTGGAGACAGCTTCAATGCCGTGGTCGCTGCAAGGGTGCCGGCGCTGAACCCACAAAGAATTCCAGGACTCTCTGGGCCCTGCCTTGCAGAGGTGATCTTAGTCCCCAGCACCGGTAAAAACAGTTCACGGGCAACAGATGTGTATGGAGCACAGCAGAGCACGTGATGGACACACGAGGGGCTTTGTGTTTAGGTACCCCTAAAGATCTCACAGGCTGCCAGCACCAGAGCATACACTCTAGCCCATTGAACCTCTCTGCCCCTTTTGCTTCTCTTTTTTATTTAAAATTTTTTTTTTAAATTTTGGGCCATATCTAATTGTGCTCAGGGGACCATATGTGGTGCTTGGGGGTTCAAAGTAGACTGGGCCACATGCAAGGCAAGTGACTTACCACCTAGATTATCTTTCCAGTTAACACTCTACCCCCCTTTTTTCTTTGCATGGGGGGTGGAAGACATCAAACCAGAACCTCACAAAAGTGAAGGCCAGTGTTCCCTCTTAGAAATATGTCTCCACCCTAGAAATGTAGCTAACCCTTAAGCAACTGCCCTAACAAATAACTGGCCGTCATCCCTAGTTACAATGTGAGAAAATGAGTGGTGGTGGTTCGCCTAGCCCTAAGTCCTCATCCCTGTTCCCCAAATCCCTACAGAGCCCAACCAACCATTTCTGCAGATTGTCTGAGTTCCCCAGTTCCCCTCCCCACAATCCTTTTGTTTCTGTGTTCCTTCCCTTCTTTTCTGCAGCTCTCCTAGCCCTCAGTTGCCTCTCTGTTTTCGCGCCTACCCATCTAGCCACTGGATTCTCCTGGTTCCCAACTTGGGGGGTCTTCTCCCCCAAACCCCTCAGCGCTGGGTCTGTGCCCCAACCCCATGAGGTCAGCGGAGTGGTCTCCAGTAGGGTTGCAGTGGGGAGGAGCCCCTGACCTGCCTCTGCACCTGCTGCTACCTCTTCTGCTGGAGTGCCTTGTCTCCTCTCACAGGAATGGCCCCTGTTGACCAGACTGAGGGACACGCGGCCTGAGTTGGGGCCCTGCTGTCCTCAGATGTGCGAGGTGGACAGCAGGACTTCCTCTGGGTCACTTCCTACTGGAAATCAGGACTGGCGACTCTGTGAGGTAGCAGAGGAGCCCCAGCACACCTTTCCAATGCACTAGGCCTGTGTGGCCCCCAACCCTGAAGGACCAAGACCCAACAGATCCAGCTGACCATGAGTGGTCCCAGACCCCTGAGCACTGCTCCAAAATACCCCAATAACAAATCAAATGCTGTCTGTTCTTTTAATGATAGTGGTTGTGTATCAGAGATACTTGTGATTTTTTTTTTGCAGGGTGGGGGCACACCCAGCAATGCTCAGGGGTTACTCCTAGCTTTACACTTAGGAATTATTTTTGGTGATCTTGGGAATCAAACAAGGCAAACATCCTGCCTGCTGTACTATCACTCAGTCTTATTACTAGTGACCTTTTAACTTGTAGTTGCAGTTCTGGCTGTGGATGATGAGCTAAAGGCACTTGCTTTACCAGTTTGAGGTGGTGAGTCTGTCCTGGGGGCCATCCACAGGGTTCATGCAACTCTGAGCCACACCATCTCTGTGTTGGGGGTGTCAGGGCCATGAGTGTACCCCACCCCTCCAATGAGCATGCAACCAAGTGTTTGTGACTCCCTCATGTAAACAGCAGAAGCAGAGAAAAGAGAAGGGGCCAGTACAGTGATGGGTGTAGATAAGTAAATGAAAATTTGAGGAGGGCCTTTTGTTTGCAGCATTGAGAGTCAAATCCAGATCTCAGGCATGCACCCTAAACCTGTGCTACATCCCTAGCCTACAATTTACTGTTTGTACTATGTAAATGTTCATTGAAATATTGTATAGGGGCCAAAGAGATAGCACAGCAATTAGGGTGTTTGCCCTGCACATGGCCAACCCAGGTTTGATCACAGGTGTGTTCAGGGCTTAGTCCTGAACAAAATACTGTCCACCACAAAAATATTATATATATATATATAATATATACACACACACACACATACATGGGCTGGAGCGATAGCACAGCGGTAGGGCATTTGCCTTGCACACAGCCAATATGGCTGACCCGAGTTCGATTCCTCCACCCCTCTCGGAGAGCCCAGCAAGCTACCGAGAGTATCTTGCCCGCACTGCAGAGCCTGGCAAGCTACCCGTGATGTATTTGATATGCCAAACACAGTAACAAGTCTCACAATGTTACTGGGCCCGCTCGAGCAAATCGATGAACAACGGGAGGACCATGACCGTGATATAAAATATGTATGCACACTTATATGCATATGTATACATGTGTGTGTAGCACTGTAGCACTGTCCTCCCGTTGCTCATCGATTTTGCTCGAGCAGGCCCAGTAACGTCTCCATTTTGAGACTTGTTGTTACTGTGCACGGCAAAGCCTGGCAAGCTACCCGTGATGTATTCAATATGCCAAACACAGTAACAACAAAGTCTCATGATGGAGACGTTACTGGGCCCGCTCGAGCAAATCGATGAACAACGGGAAGACAGACAGACAGTGATATATACATATATATACATATATAATGCATTTTTTTCCCTTCTGGATGGCAGGGATTGGTCATGTGTGGCTGTGGCACTCATGTACTAGGCTATAGTATAGAGAAATATCTCTTTGGGTATTGAGGAACATAAGTAAGCATTTTATAGAATATCATTTCTCCTTATGAAAAACTGGAATTAGAGCCAGAGAAATAATATACGCAACTGACCCAGTTTTAATCCCTGGTACCATATCTATGAGTGATCCCCGCCCCCCCCCCCCCCCAGCACAGAACCAGGAATATCTACTTGAGCACTGCCAGGTATGGTCCAGTCACCACCACCCCTGGACAAAAATGGAACTGACTGAATGCCACCATCAACGGGCAGGTGAATGATAGGACAGTGGGGAGGATGCTTGCCTTGCACAAAGATGACCCAGGTTCAATCCCCAGCATCCCATATGGTCCCCTGAGCACCGCCAGGGGTAATTCCTGAGTGTAGAGCAGGAGTAACCCCTGTGCATTGCCAGATGTTACCCAAAAAGTTTTTTAAAAAAAGGTAAAAACTCTGATAAGCTCAGGGGAGAAAGGAGGCTGGATTAGGGGGTTCGGAGGCTGGATCAGGGAAAAGAGGGCCGGGTCAATGGAGGATTTACCATCTGCCTCTAAGATAGATCGTGAAAGAGGATATGTGAAGTTATTTTTATCATTTCAAATAGAGGGGTTTTTTTTTAATTTGGATGCAACCCCCTTGAGCCATCATCCCAGTTTTCCCTTTTTTTTTTTTGTTTTTGCAATTCATGATCAAATAAACGCACTGTAAATAAAAAGCTGTCCCCGTATGCCACTTAAGGTAGAACAGATCTGAGGAGCCCCACACAAATGTCTGTCTTCAGTACTTTTGTTTTTCCTGGTACCAGACAGAATGGTACTCAGGGCTCCTAGTTCTTGCTCAAGGATTACTCCTATCTGACTCTGGGAACCACGTGTGGTGCAGGGGATCACACCCAGTTTGACCCTGTCCGCGGCAAGCATCTTACCCTCAGTACTACTATTGCTCTATTCCCAGGAAAATGTAATCTTATCTCATCATGTTCGTAAAAGGCAAACAGAAGCGATTTTATCTGTTTTGTTTTGTATTTTTGGGCCACACCCAGCAGTGCTGAAGGCTTATTCTCGGTTCTGCACTGTGGAATCACTGCTAGTGAGTTCGGGGGACAATACGGGGTGCCGCGGTGCCGCGTTGGAACCTGGGTCAGTCATTTGCAAGGTAAATGCCCTATCAGCTGTATTATTTTTCTGGCCCCAGGAGTGTTGCACTCAAGATTTGGAAATGTTTTCATTTTAGATATCTTCAGCCCTGCCCTTCCAAGAAACAGTGGAATGGCTTCCCAAAAGTCTTCTGTATCCTTTTCTCATTGAATTTTCACAGGTCTGCAATTTATATATAAAGTACACGGATTTCTGAGACGTGCAGTGACACACACAGTCGGGCAACAAGAACCAATCCCTGTCCTTGGTGCTAACGGAAGCGTGGGGGGAAGGGAGGAGTATTTAGAGCTCGTTCCTGAAAAGGAGCATTTCTCAAATGCCAAGGGGACACTGGGTATTTGGTAAGTTGTCACAGCGACTGATACCTTCTTGCAAAATCACAGTTCCACTGGAGTTGCGTTCTACTGCACAGGTCCCTCTGTAAATTTTGCATCACTGCATTATTATGAGCCAAGCAGGGGAGGTGTGCACAAAGTCTGTCGTAAGAAAACGGAACACCATGATTTCGGATACTGTGGACAGCCAGCTCCTTTAAGTTGACTGCAAGGAGAAAGGGGGGGTTCGCCGACGGCCAGCCCCGCACAGCTCAGGCTCGCGGACTGATAGGAACTAAGGAGCCAGAGCAGAGGGCTGACCCAGGGGCTCGCCCCGCCCCCGCTCCAGCCCGCATGCGCAGCTACGGGGACGCGCTCGGCCCCGCCCCCTCCCAGGGCAGCCTGCTGGCCCGGAGGCGGGGCCTGGGCACAACATGGCTGACGAGCGCCGGGAGTCCTCGAGTCCTAGCTCAGCGGTCCCGGAGCCACGCATTCCGGACCCGCCGGACCTGGTGCGGGCACGGAAGGGACCTAGGTCGTGTGTGTCAAGGTGGGAGGTGGGCCTTAGGCCAGGGAGCGTGGTGGGGCGTGTCTTTTGAGAGTTGGCGTGGCAGGTACTTGGGGTCCAGAGGGGCGGGGCCTGCAGAGCCTTGACGGCGAAGGGGCGGGGCCTGGCGTTGGGCGTATCCTTTGCCAGGCCTGATGTGTCTGACTAGTGGGGCGGAGCCTCAGCGAGAAATTTTCGGAGTTGGGAACTAGGATGGAAGGTTGGGAAGGTGACCCTGACAGTCAAGGAGGTGGGGTTATGATGAACACCCACACTGGGTTGGAAAGGAGGATTCTGCATGGTGCTGAATAAGATTCCTGGACTGCCAAGGATGGGGGAGGAGAGAGGAGGAGAATAATGACTTTGGGTGTCTTTGGAACTGCACCTCATTTCCTTCCACTCAGTGGAAAGAAACTGAGGAAGGCATTCAACAAGTCTTTCCTAATTGATTTTCTTTCTCTCAGAGCTTGCAGTCTTGTGTGGGAGAGGTACAATAAAGATTTGTTGTGGTACATTCTAGAATGGGAATAAAGGGTGAGCTGATGGGAGTGTGGAGGAGAGCTAAATTTAGACGGAGCCGCCAGTTGTGTGCAAGCTTCTTTTTGCTTTAGGGTCAGAGGGAGAGAAACAGCCAGGTTGTGATGGAATTTAGGATGACGATTTGGGGCAAATTTGGGGGTTAGTATTTGGCAACATGGGAGGGTTTCAGGGGGAAATTACTTCATCGGATTTCCATTTTCAAAGGTCGTCCGGGCTGCTTTGGGAGGGGATGATAAAGGAACAGGTGTGGAAATGAGTGTCTCTTAGGTACGCTGCTTTTATTGGGAAAGGCAAGAAATGATTGGCCTGTAACTCAGTGGAGGAGGGACATGTTAGAATTCATGATCTATTTGAGACAAAAGAGGAAGTAGTGATGGGGTCATGGCAGAGACCCCAAGGATAAAGAATAGGATCCAGAAATGGAAGGGTGGAATAGGAATGTGGTCCAGCGACCACACATCTGCCTTGCACATCCCATCCCTCACCAAACATGGCCCCCATTCCTTTGTGGGGGCCTGGGAGGCAGTGGAGACAGCGTCCACAGGCTCCTGGTTTCTCCCCCCACTCCCCGCCCAGGTTCTGGTGTCTGATGAGGACCGCCCTGCCACACCCCCGAGGGACCTCATCGAGATCCAGGTGGTGAAGGTGACCGACACCACTCTGGTCCCCGAGCCCCTGGAGCCAGGCCCTCTTCACTGTGCCTTGTGTCCAGCTGCCTTCCAGCTGGTATCTGAGCTGCTGTTCCATGAACATGGCCACCTGGCTGGGGCCGAAGGCGGTGGGCCGGCTGGGAACCCCAGCCAGTGCCACGTGTGTGGCCACCACTGCCCGGGCCCCGCCAGCCTGCGCACCCACTACAGCCTGCACACAGCCGAAAGGCCTTACCGCTGCATGCTCTGCCCGCTGTCCTTCAAGGCGCCGGCGCTGCTGCTGCGCCACCAGCACCGACACGGGCCCAGCTCGGCTGTGGCAAGCCGCGGGGCCCCGCTGGAGATCGCCGGGGTAGTGGCGGCGGTGAGCAAGCCCTTCGCCTGCCGCTTCTGTGCCAAGCCGTTCCGCCGCTCATCTGACATGCGCGACCACGAGCGTGTGCATACCGGCGAGCGACCCTACCACTGCAGTGTGTGTGGCAAAGGTTTCACGCAGTCGTCAGTGCTGAGCGGCCACTTGCGCATCCACACTGGCGAGCGACCCTTCCGCTGCGCGCTCTGCGGCCGCACCTTCAACAACTCCTCCAACTTCCGCAAGCACCAGCGCACCCACTTTGCAAGGGCCCAGCCCTGGCTTGGGGGTGACCCCTGCAGCCAGCAGGCGGGAAGAGGGAGGCGGGAGCCCTCGCAGGTGAAGAGAGAGGTTGACCCCTAGGCTGGAAGTGGACAGGGAGGAGGAGAGGGGAGATTGGGGGAGCACAGAGGAGTGGCTGGTAATGAAAAGCTGAGCCAAGTGGGGCAACCCTTCATCACAGAATCACTGAGGTTGGGGGGTGCGCAGCCCAGGTCCAAGTTGTGTTCTTGCAGGTGGTCCTTGTGCATGAAGCTTGTCGCCAGCTGGTGGTAGCATGGGGTGGGTCACAGTGCCCCTGGTCATTGCGGGTTCTGGTCTTTGGGGTTCTCTGGGGTGTGCCCAGATGGAACCATTTTCCTGCCTCAGTGAACCCCACCCTGTTGCCTATCTCCCAAAAGCGGAAGAGCCTCAGCACATCCTCCACAAAAGAGACTTGGAGATGCCCTCAAAGCCCAAGGGTATCAGGTCATAGCTGAGGACATTTGAGTTTACAGGACATGAGCCTCACTGTAAGGATCTTTTGTCCCTCTACCCAGGAATAGAAGAAACCTCCATGTCAAGCTTTGGCCCAAGAACCCACCCCCCCCCCCCGTGTCTCCCTACCCCGCTCCCCCTTGAGCTATGGTAACCAGTGCCAGGTGAGCCCAGGGTGGGCTGATGAAGGCTGGGGGCTCGAGCTGAGAGCTGAGTCACTGTGCTAGGAGCCCCGATTCTCGGTTATTAAAGAACTTTCTGAAAAGCTCCTCTATGTCTATCTTGTACCTGGGGTGGTAGCCAAGGGCCACGGCACAGACCCCTCTGTGGAGGTGTGGTTCAGTTCCAGAAGCAGTGGTTCAGGAAGGGACTATAGAGGGAAGCACTCCCCCAGCACCCCACCTCCCCATGTAACCCCCACCATGCAAAGAGCTCGTCCTCTTCGCCAAAGCAGCATCAGCAGCCAGGAGAGACCTGGGCTGGTTCCCTGAGTGTCCCCTATCCTGCTGCTTGTTCCAGACATGTATGAGTGTACTTCTTTCCAGTACAGCTCTTCTAGAGAGAGCTTGTCAGTGGGGCCTGGCCAGCCCAGCCCCAGCCCTGCTGGCCTTCCCATGCCCTGACCCCTACCAACCTTGTCACAAGTCCAGGGCCAACTGGCTTGGAAAAGAAATCACATGTGAATGCCATCAAAGTGACAGTACGAGTGGAGGTGAAGGATTCTGAGGGCCAGTGCCAGCACAGACAGGTGGGGACGGATGCTCAGGCTGAGGTGGGAGCTGGGGGCAGCCTCCGTGCACTTCAGCTCAGGGTGGGCATGAGTCCTGCTAGTATTTTTCCATGTGGTATTTGTTCACACTGTGCTAAGTCACACTGTTGCTTGCTCACTTGTTCCTGTGCTGGGGATCAACTTCAGGGCATCACACATGCAAGGCATGTGATCTATAGCAAGCCACATCCTGGCCCAATGCCAATGATGTAAAACCTTCTGATGTCAAATACTGGCAGGCAGTGAGTCCAGAAGTGTAAATGAATGGGCTAAGGCAAAGTGTGTGGTGGGTCCCAGCAGTTAGTTAACTTAGGCAGCAGCAGGAAGAGCAGCAGGTCCTGCCAGCACCAGTCTTCTCCACCCCACCTCCAAGGGACCCTCATCATGTGAGCCACACCATACCTGTCTGTGCCCAAGCACCTCCCCTCACCCCTCACCACTTAACCCTGGCTGACAAATTTCTGTGGAGCCTGGCCAGCTCACACCAAAGTGGCCCCATGCTCCAGAGCCTGTGCTGGTACTTCATGCCTTCCCCTTGATGGCAGACTCCAGGCAGGGATTTAGTCACTACAGTTTGGTGGCCACACTGTCCCATGACCAAAGTGAGGTCTGGAGGAGCTGGAGAAATAGTACAGTGGGTAAGGTGCTTGCCTTGCATGCAGCTTACTTATGGGGGTTGATCCTCAATATTCCACATGGCCCCCTGAGCACCGTCAGGAGTAATTTCTGAATGCAGAATCAAGAGTAACTCGAGTATCACCTGCTGTGGCCCCAAAACAAACAAGAATACACTGAAGGCTGAATAAGTGCACCTCGAGGTCCTGCCCCCTGTCACTCACAGGCTCTGAGCAGGGAGGCCCAGCTCCCCATCATTCAGGGACTGGGACCCAGCATTGCTCCCCCCGAAAGGCAAAATGAGGTGTTCGGGGAGCTAGGCCCAGTTCATCTGTTCCCTAAGGACAGCCTCAGCAAACACGGATAGGCTGCTTGGCATGTACACTGGGGACCTGAAGGAGGCAGTTCAGGTAAAAGCAGGTTCCCAGCTGCTGAGAGCACACTGACCTGGCCGGTTCACTTCCACTGCTTAAAAGAAAATTCAGTGCTGGGCCAGAGAGATCCTACAATGGTCAGGATGCTTGCCTTGCACGCAGCATACCTGGGATTGATCCCTGGCACCCCATATGGTTTCCCGGGTCACACCAGGATCCCTGAGTGCAGAGCCAGGAATAAGCCCTGAGCACTGCTGGATGTGGGAGGGAGGGTGGGAGGAAGGAAACTCAGTGCCTAAGGAGCAAAACCCACAGAGACAAAAGAGCCCCAAATCCCCTGCTAGTGTCCAGAGCATTCTCCCAGGGTGCAACAAGAGACTCGAGGGCCCTGTGGATAAATTTATTCTTCTCTGCTCTGTACAAGCTGCGTCTGCACCCCGCCCCCACCCCGCAATCCAAAAGATCACCTGCCCCCCACCCCAAGTTCCGCTCCAATTCCAGGTTCTGAGAGGGGAGTGAGCAGCTCAGCCACACCCCACCAAAGCGTCTTGGGGGACAGAATGCCCCGGGGACAGGGATGGATGAGGGTTACAAGACCAGGCTGGACGGGGCTCGAGGCTTGGGTTGGTGGCTGGGAGGGGATGCGGCTGGCCCAGGGGGTCAGAATGGAGGAATTCCAGGACAGTTTGTCCACGTTTGCAGCGAGCGGGCAGTGAGGGGGTACAGGGACAGCTCAGCGGGCGGCGGGGCTTGGGGCCGGACAGGGCGGGCTACTGGAACTGCGAAGGGGCCAGGCCTCGGTCAGGCATCCTTCCCAGTTAGGGTGCCCGCACTGGCCCCCGTCCCGGGGGCTCCGAGGCCCTCGGCCTTGTGTGCCAGGCGGTGCTTCTTGAGGCCGTAGGTGTTGGCGAAGCCCTCGCCGCACGAGGAGCAGCGGAAGGGCCGACCGCCCTGGTGGGCCGCCAGGTGCTTGCGGAAATACCCGGGATCCTTGAAGGCCTTGAGACAGGCGGGGCAGCGGAGCTCAGGCCGCGGTGGCTCATGCGCACGCTGGTGGCGCAGCACGGAGCTCAGGTAGAAGAAGCCCTTGCCGCAGTGCTCGCAGCGGTAGGCGCGCTCGCCCAGGTGCAGTCGCTGGTGCTCCAGCAGGTTGGAGCGATAGCGGAACGTCTTGCCGCAGGCGCCGCAGCGCTGGGGCCGGGCCACTGCGTGCAGGCGCCGGTGTTCTGCCAAGCTGGACGACTGGGCAAAGCGCTTGGCGCACACGCCGCACTTGAAGGCACGCTCACCCGTGTGCACTACGCGATGCTGCCGCAGGTACCAGGAGCGCAGGAAGCCTTGGCCGCACACGCCACAGCGGTAGGGTCGCTGCTCCGTGTGGCAGCGCTGGTGGCGCATCAACAGGGCCGCCTCCCAGAAGCGCTTGCCACACACAGGGCAGCGGAAGCCTCGTTTCTGCCGGTGACTGCGGCGGTGCAGGAGCAGGTCGTAGGCGCCGGCGAAGCTCTGGCCACACAGGCCGCAGCCCAGGGTTCGGCGCACCAGGTGTACATACTTATGTGTCACCAGGCCCAGGAAATGTTTGAAGCTCTGGCCACACGTGGCGCAGCTGAAGCGCTCTGGGCCCCCTGTGGCACCACCCCCGCTGCCAGCCGCCGCTGCTCCGCCGGCGTCATCGCCCCCCGACACCCCCGCCAGCGCCGCTACAGCCGCCCCAACCTCGCCCGCCAGCCCACTGTCTAGCACGCTGGCCGCGTCCGTCCCGCCGGAACCTTCCGGGGCCTGGGGGCCGCCAGGCGCGGGAGGCAGCAGGCGCTCGGGCGCCGCCTGGTGCACCAGCTTGTGCCACATGAGGTTCTCGATGAAGCCGAAAGTCTTGCCACAGGCGTCGCAGCCGTAAGGCTTCTCTGCCATGTGCACCTCCTTGTGACTCATGACGTGGAAGAGATCAGGGAAGTGCTCACCGCAGTCAGAGCATGCGTAGTTCAGGCCCTCCGCTGTGCCCGCCCCCGCAGCCGCGGAGCCAGAGCCGCAGGCACCTGGCCCGCCTTGGCTTGTGGGTAGGCCGGCGGCCCCGGCCAGGGCGCAGGGCAGCTGCAGCCGGTGCACCTGGCGGTGGCGGGTGAGGCTCTGTGGGTAACCGAATACCTTGCCGCAAAGCTCGCACTTGTAGGGCCGCTCGCGGGTGTGCACCACATGGTGCTTGCTCAGGTGGAAGGACTCACGGAAGCGCTTCCCGCACACCGGGCACTGGTGCGGCTTCTCGCCCGTGTGGATGCGCTCGTGGCGCTTCAAGGTCTCGCGCCGCCCGAAGCCGCGGCCGCAGATCCCGCAGCAGAAGGTCTTGCCTGGAATGCCAGTGCCAGAGCCCGGCGCACTCCCAGTCCCGGCGCTGCCGAGCAGCAGAGGGTGTGCGCCTAGTAGCGGCACAGGCATGGCCCCGTAGACCACGGCCGCGGCCGCGGCGGTGGCCGCCTTGTCGCTGTCAGTGGCGGGTGGGTCGGGGGGCAGGAGGTAGGGGCCCGGGGGGAAGGGGGGCGGGGGCTGCGGGGTTGCCCCATCCTTAGGCGCCTCTGGCGCAGCGCTGGAAGCTGGCGCATGGGGGGCATGCGCAGCCTTGTGGCGCAGTAGACTCTGCGGCGCCGAGTAGGACTTGCCACAAAGGTCGCAGGGGTAGGCGGGGCGCGGGGCTCCGGTGCCCGCGTGCGCCGCCTGGTGCTTGAGCAGGTAGGCAGCGTCGCGGAAGGCCTTTCCGCATATGCCGCAGGGCAGGCGCAGCAGGTCCGCGGAGTGCGTCTTCACATGACGCTTGAGGCTCTCGCGGCGGTTGAAGCTCTTGTTGCACACGGAACAGGAGAAGGGCTTCTCGCCTGTGTGGATGATCTGGTGCTGGTGCAGATGGCTGGGCTTCTTGAACACCTTCCAGCACAGCGGGCAGGCGAATGGGCCGTCACCACCCCCCGCCCCGACTGGTGGCCCTCCCCCACCTGCCGGGCCGGCCGGGACAGGGTTGGCAGTGCCATCTGCGGGCGTGGCTGGGGGTCCGGAGGCCGCTGCAGCGGGGACAGGGGGGGCGGTGGGAGTGGCGGCGGCGGCCGCAGGGACCCCAGCCGGGGCGGGCAAGCCGAGCTGTGACAGGGGCGCAGCAGGGGGCGGAGGCCCAGCTGCGGCCGGCATGGTGGCGGTGGGCGGCACATCCTTATGGCAGCGGCGGTGGCGGATGAGGCTGGAGACATGGTTATAGGTGCGGCCGCACACGCCGCACTCGTAGGGCCGTTCGCCCGAGTGCACAAGCATGTGCTGCACTAGGTGTGAGGACTGCTTGAAGGACTTCTGGCACACGCCGCACGGGAAGCGCCGCTCCATCAGGTACTTGAGCCGCCGGAAGTAGCCCTTGTCATCCTTGGATGGGTCACACGTGGCGCTGGTGCCGGCTGGGCCCGGTGGGGCTGGAGCAGGTGTGGGCAGAGGGCCTGGTGTCCCCGCTGGAGTGGCCAGCCCTGGTGTCCCCCCGGGTCCTGTGGCTGGGCCCCCTCGCTTCAGGTTCCCAAACAGGTGCTGGTGTCCCGAGAGGTCGACAATGCCCCACTGCGGGGCCGGGAAGGCGGCATCGAACAGGGGTGGCGGTGGTGCCCCAAAGGCGGGCGCCAGGGGTAGATCGGGCTTCTTGGCTTGGGAAGAGGCAGAAGAGGAAGAGGAGGATGATGAGGAGGAAGAGGAGGATGAGGGCGTCTCTGCCTTAGGCTTGAAGGTGGCCGGGGCTGGGTAGTCATACTGGGGGGGTGGTGGCTGTGGCGGCGGCTGCGGTGGGGGCCCGGGAGTGCAGGGCAGGGCTGCCACGGCCTTGGCGTGCTCCCCATACAGCTCCATGGGCTCAAAGCGCTGGTGGTTGAGGAACTCCAGGAAGTCGAAGGGGTAGCTCTGGAAGTGAACCCCGTCCTCGCCGCCCAGGCCGCTGCTCCCACCAACCCCGGCTCCACTGCCCGCAGGGTTTGCCTCCATTTCGTTTGGGGTCCACCGGAGACCCTGTGAAGAGGGACAGGAGGTGCTGAGCACTGCAGGGCTCTGCACTGGGTGGCCAAAGGCTGGGCAGCCGACCTCCTGCCCAAGCATCCTTCTCATCTCCTCCCTGGCTCCTGATGCACCTCCTCTGCACAGCCTCTCATATTTCACCCCACCCACCCCACCCCTACTCCTGCCCTGGTGGATGATCAGCCCTGGCCCTATGGAAGCCCCAAGAAACTGAAGAGAATTCCTGATTTCTTGCTGTGTGACCTCAGGCAGGGTTCTGAGCTTCTGTGCCTCACAGCTGCATCTGCAACACAGACCTTACACCTTCCAGCCTCAGGCCCAGCCCCATGCCCATCTCCTCCAGTCTGGAAGGGTGCAGGAGCACTAGGTTGGAGACAGGAGTGGAGGGGCCAAGTAGCTGGTCTCAGGCATGGTCAGAACACATCCCCATGACCTCTGTGACATCCCATGCCTCGGGTATCTGCATGCAATCAGGGACCTGAGTGTTCCTGATCCGGTTTCGAGTTCCATTCATTCTGGGCTACAGCCAGAAGGGAGACATCAAGAATTACCAGGCCAGGGTTCTCCCTGCCCAGCTTAAAGGTTTCTTCACCCCCACACATATGTGATTTGCAGGGTTCCTGCAGAGCCTTGCTCTCCCACTGCGCAGGTGTGGAGTGCCAAGGAGCAGGGCATCATTGAAAAGATGCTCCAGCCTGGGCCGGAGACATGGTAACCCACATTCAATCTCTGCCACTGTATGGGGTCCCTGGAGGCCCGCCAGGAGTGACACCCCCAAAAGAAAGCAAGTACTGCTGGGCTCCCTGGAACTCTGGCACCCCCTGCAGGCCAGCCAGGAGCTTGCTGGGGCTGGGATGCAGTCACCACCCACCATCACCCTGTAGCTAGCTGGGAGCTGGGTCCATGGGCTAGTTCAGGCAGTCACCATTCTCATCCCTCCAAGGACAGCCTGCAGAGGTCATGAGCATGGCAGCATCTGGATGCTCTCTGCACCCCCTCCCCCAGTTGTGGTACTGAAGAAGTAGAGGAAGGTGGGGGTGGGAGCCCCCTTTGGAAGTGCTATCTAGATTCTGAGGAAAGACATTTACATCAGGAACAACTGGGAACGAAGGTCCCATGATTCCCAAGTCTCTTCTGGGCCTCTTTGTGTTTCCCATAAGCCATTGCGCCCTGTTGTCCCAGGCTCTCCTGTCTACATCCACCCCTCCCCCAATCTGGCATGGGTTTCTGTACTTGGCCACGTCACCTGGGTCTCCTGAGGTCCTATGGGGCTGACAGGGACCAAAGGCTGGGATGGTGAGTTGGGGGGACAGACGCAGGCAGGAGCAGCTCTGCTGCATCAGGCCAGGAGGGGGCACTAAGCAGACAGGGTTGGGTGGGAGGAGGGGGAAAGGTGGGTAGATGCACAGAATGATCAGCTCATGATCCCCCAGAAACATGAATCCCCCTTTGTCAGGGCATCTGGGCCTTGAAGAGTCATCCTGGGGTAGGCTGCACCCGGAATAGAGGCATGTTTGGGAAGAGGGGAGGGACCCCTTTCCAGAGGCTCACTCTGAAACAGCTGCTGTTTGTTCCTGGGTGAGATCTGGGCCTTTGCCCCTACTGGTGCCAACCCATCACAGCTGTGGGCAACTGAGGGTGAAGCCACTGGCCTGTGAACTCGGGACCTGCCTCAGGATGGGATTCTAATGGCTCAGGGACAAGAACCCAAGCCAGGGACAGGCCCCTGGAGCCTGGCAGGGTGGCTGCCCCTTCCACATCTCCTACAGCCCACAAGTCTCCCACCAACCCTCCACGTTGCTCACCAACTGGCGCCCCCTCAAAGGCAGGGGCTGAGGCTAGTCAGCCTCCTTCCCATCAGGGGAAACAGCTGCCCCTAGACCAGGGCACCCAGACTGCTTCCCCCTCACACCCTCAGCAGCACTGCAATCCTGTCCCTGTGGGCATTACCACATGTGAGTTCCTGTCCCCTGCTAATCTCCAGGACGCAAGACAGTGCCCAGGCCAGAAACTCGGCCCTAGAGGCCCCATGCTCTGGCCACTTCGCTCTTGGAGGGCTGTTCTCAAAGGTGTGACCTTTTGGTGCTGGCTGCTGGGGGACAAGATAACAACAGAAATTTTTCCGATACTCCTTTCTGTCCAAGCCCCTTGTCCTATGCAATCCCCTATCGGAGCCCATGTGGGCAGTTTCTAATCAGACCATGAGGCAGCACTGCTGTCCACCAAGGCGGGATCGTCCGCTGTCAGATGTTGCATGTCCAGTGTGTGCTTCATGAGTGGCTGTGGAAGAGAGTACAACCTGGGCTGGGGTCCTCTCCTCTCAGACCCTGCAGCACCCACACTGTGGCCTTCTTTGCACGTCCCCTTCTGATCTGCAAGGGCAGCTCCAAGTCTCTGCACTGCCCAGTTACCTCCAATTCAGGAGCACTCGGAAAACGCTGTTTATCCTGTTTATGTGTTTACTTTCTTTTCAGCTGCCTCCCGAGAGTGGGGGTTTTTCTCTGCGGCTGCATGGGGGGCTAGAGTCATCCCCTGGGGAAGCTGGAGAAGGGGCAGGTCAGGAACAGCCCATTAGAGTGGTTGAAGCCTCATTCCCAGCGGGAAGGAAATGCTCCTGCAGGAGATGCCACCGCCGGAGGCAGGGCAGAATTTCTGGGGATCCTAGACTCCGGAGGGGAGGGCAGGCGCTGCCCACCTGCAGGGGAAGAAGGTGTGCATCGCAAGAAAAACTGAAGGGGGCGCTGTTCCGCGGGAGGGAGGTCGGGAAGGGGGTTGACAGAGGTGTTGCGGGGGAAATAGGGGCTCGTGGGGGAAATAGGGGCTCGTGTGCAGAATGAAAAAAGACATCCTTAACCGTTGACCAGAATAAAGTATTTTTACACCAACGGAGACGACTGGAAAGAAAGGTGGTTAGGTACTGCTTGCGTGTGGACAGGGAGAACGGGGCGGGGAGGGATGCAGTTTTCTAAGGCACCGGTGATCGCTCTTTGCAGGAAACCTTATGCGGGAGGAGGGCGATGCTGGTAGCATCGGGGAACCTGTCCCGGCGGAGGCAAGGACTATAGCCATGGAGAAAGCACGGGACGGGGAGGGGTGTTTGGCAGCAGTTTAAGGCATCACCACGAATGAGGGCGTCTTGGCAGCCGTCCTCCACGGGGGCGCTGATGGCGGAGATGTCTGCATTGGTGGGCTAGGGGCGGGCAGCGACTTGGGAGCCTCCTGGCAAGGGCCCGGCGGGAGAAGCACTGATGGGATCGTTCTGGGGACCACAGCGGGCCAGGTCGGGGTCCCCCCGCCCCCGCTGCCCCTGGGCCCAGGGGCCAAGCGACGACCGTCACTCACCGGCGCCGGGGTCTCCGCCGGGAGGAGGCCGAGGTGGCGGAGAAGGCGCCGCCGCTCGGGGGAGACCCGAGGGCCCGACCGGAAGTGCCGCCCCCTCCCCCTCCCCGGGAGCCCAGCACCGCCAGCCCGCCCGCCCGGAAGCGGAAGTCGCGCCCGTCTCCGAGGCGCCGGCGTGGAGGAGCAAAAAGAAGAGACAGCGGCGGCACCAGCCGGCAGAGGCGGTGGCGGCGGTGGCGGCGACTGGCAGAATGCGCCTGCGCATTGGCTAGGGAGCCCGGGTGGGGGAAGGCCTGGCCACTTCCGGTGGCGGGGCAGCGCTGTGCGCCTGCGCCCAGGGCGTCCGCCTCTTACCAGGGCACCGCCTACACACACTCAGGACTTCCGGCTAGGCCACGCCCCTCCCGCAGATCCCACTCAAGCCCCGCCTATGACTCAGCTCCCCCCATTTCAACGCGTCATCTCGTGAGTCCCGCCCACTGCCCCAAACTCCATCTTGCGGGGCTGAGAATGTAGCTCAGCCTTGGAAGTATGAGGCCCTGGGTTCGACTCCCTAAGCCAAAAAAAAAAAAAGAAGAAAAACCCATAAATCAACACTTCATGCCCCTTGCACGCAACATTCAGTCTCTCCCGCCTCAATCCCTCCTCTCCGGGATTCCTGTGCCGCTCCTCCACCTTCTCACTCTGCCCCCTCCGACCACAGCATCTGATGCATCAGCTTCAGTGCTTCTTAAAGTTTGCTCCGGAAGGGCCGGAGCGATAATACAAGGGCATCTGCCTTGCACGTGGCTGACCCAGGTCCGATCCCCGCCATCCCATATGGTCCCTCAAGCACCGCCAGGAGTAACCAGAGCATCGCTGGGTGTGACCCAAGAAAAAAAAGTTTGCTCCGGAAGCCACCGGCAGCGGCATCACCCAGGGTGGACTTATGAGTAACGTATGTCCTCGGGCCTCCCGCTCCAGACATCGGAATTCAGAAACCCTGGGGTCATGCATGCCTCATATGTGAGGATCTGGGTCCAGTCTCAGACACCGGAAAAATGAAATAAATAAAATACTCTTCTGGTAATCCTGATAGCTCAAGTTAAGAACCACTATCCCTCTCTAACTCAGCCTCACTAAGCCAGTCTCCTAGCGTTTCCTGCTCTGATGCCTTCTCCGGTAGCTCCTGTTCTGCCCAGACCTGGATAGCGGTTATGCCCACCCTCCGCATCTCTTTTCTGTAGAGACCCACTTCTCCTGCTGCAGGTTCCCCTTGGTTTCCACTGCTCAAATAAAGCCAAAATTTCCCTCAAGCAAGCGACCCCAACAGCCAAAAAATCGCTTTAAGCTCCACCCCAGTTCTCAGCCCCTTCCCAAGCCTGCCCAGGGTCCCCGAGCCCAAACCCCGCCTCCTGCTACCCTGCCCCCGCCCCCAGCACCACACCCCTCCTCAAACCGCTTCAGAACAGGTTAGGGCCCAGTCCTAACTGAAACTCTGGGGATTCTGGCCAGAGTGAGGAAGGGGACCTATGTGTACACAGAAGATCCAAGTTCCTGCTTAGAGTGAATATTCACGGGGAGTACTTTGGGTCAGAGGGGACAAGGACAGGGTCAAAGGCTTCCCCCAACTCACTCTTCAGTGCCCAGGGAAAGGCAGCATGTGACATGGGGATCCTCCCACAGGAATGTGGAGTAGAGAGAAGAGGCAGCTAGCCCCAGTACTGTCACTGCAAACACACGGATGCCAGTGGGCAGAGGTTTATTTCCATGGCCCCTGGCTCCGAGGGCCTGTCAGTCCTAGGCAGGGTGATAAAAAGTGATGGGACCCCAATACTGAGACCCTCACCCTTACCCCCCTCCCACAAACGAAAGACCATGAGACAGGAGGTAGTCCCGGTCCCCCTACCCCGGCCCAGCAGCAGCCCAGCCAGCGCAAAGCCTGGCAGGGGGCGAGGTGGCCTGGCTTGTGGGTCAGGCCACCTCTTTCCTCTCAGGCTCCTCAGGCTCAGGCTCCTCCTCCTCCTCCTCCTCCTCCTCCTCCTCAACTCCTGCAGTGGCCGGGATGCCCTCGTCGTCCCATGGCAGCTCAGGTCCTGGATCCGGGGGACACACGGGTGCCTCCATGGCCTCTGGGTGCTTGCGTTTGGCATGGCGCCGGAGCGTGTTGGCCTCGGTGAAGCGCAGGCGGCAGATGGGGCACTGGTAGGGCCGCTCCCCTGAATGCACACGATGGTGGTGCGCCAACTCCCCGGCCTCGCGGAAGCGGCGCGGGCAGAGCAGACAGTGGAAGGGCCGCAGGCCGGCATGGATGTTGCAGTGCCGACGCAGGTGGCTGGACCGCTTGAAGGTCTTGCCACAGTCCTTGCACTCATGCGGTTTCAGCTCCGAGTGCGAGATGCTGTGGCGCTCCAGGTCAGAGAGGTAGGGGAAGGCCCGCAGGCACACTGGGCAGAAGTGCCGCGCCTTCTTGGGGCCTGAGCCCTCGGTCCCACCTGCCACTGACCCTTCTGAGACTGTATAGGGCACACCCTGATCATCGATTAATAGCAGGTCGCTACCCCCGCCGCTGTCCACCGGGGCCATGGGCCCCTGCACCAGCGGGGGCTCCTGCCCTGGTTTGGGAGGCCGGCCCCGCTTACGGGAGAAGGAGGCCTTGAGCGTCCAGTGCGAGGAGGCAGCAGTACCGGGAGGGCGGCCCCGGCGAACAGGAGGAGGCAAGGCCAGAGGGTTTTCTTCCTCCTGGGGCAAAGGCGAAGGCAACTGGTCTGGGCTGGGGGTGTCCATTGAGCAGTAGGGGGCTTGGGCCTGAGCTCTGGAGCCGGGCTAAGAGGAGAGAGGGGGGCAGCAGTCAGTGCTCAGTGCAGGGAGGGCCTGGAACTCCCTATGTTCCCCAACACCTTGCCCATCCCAGTTACGAGTCTCCTGAGTGGAGTGTGGCTGGCCTGGGAATATAGCGCCACAGTCCTCAAATGGGACACCCCTGGCACACCCAGACTGCAGCGCTATGACCCCTCCAAACAAGCAAAAGGGGAGGAGAAAGGGGGCGAGCAGCAAAGGGGGACGCCAAGAGGGAGTGCCTAAGTGGTGCCCCGCCCTGAGAGTTGGCTGTGAGAAAGCACTGCTAGAGTCCAGTGTCCGGCTCCTGAGAAGGACTCTGGCTTCCAAGCCTAGCTAAGCCCATTGCAAAACAGAGGAAGCTGCTGTTCACCTCTCCCAGACATATCCTGGTGGGGGAAGGACGCACTTAAAAAGCTTTTCGGGGCCAGCCAGAATCATCCTCCAGGACTGTGCTGGGCCGCAACCAACCTCCGGGGAAAGGGGCACATCACCTCCACTTAGTGCAAGGCGGGTAACCGAGGTGCAGGCCAGCCCCGTGCATAAGCGCCCACTGGCAGCGCTGGCAGGACCGAGATTTTAAACCAAGACCTCAAGGATCCCAGTGGCCCAGGGATAATAAAGAAGAAATGGACTCAAGCAGATGAGGGGCAGTTTGGAGGCCCTCAGTTCTGAGCTTGGATTCAGCAATCAACGGGACTTTGCGTCTCCGTACCAGTGTCTGCCTCCTCAACCGTGGGTATACTCAGTGAGCGACCACTGTGCCCTCATCACCACTGGCTCCTGAGGCGAGGGATTGGAGAGCAGAAAGCGGGAGGAGGCGAGCGCAGGTGCACTGGGAGCGGGGGCTGCAGGTGCCTCTGGACCCTCTTTTGAACAGGCACACGGTCACCCCCAAAGAGGGCTAACCGCTTTTCCTCTATCGCAGGCTCCTCCGAGGGGGCTAGTCGGAGACCGGAACTCAGCCTGGACCCTCGAGCCCCCGCCCAACCCCGCGCTAGAGCGCGCCCGCCGCCCCCCAGAGCTGCCAGAGCGCGGGGCGGGCCATGCGGGGGCGGCGGCCAATGAGCGCCGTTGTGCTGCGGACGCCGAGGGCCGCCGCCAAGGGGGTCTGCGCGCGCGCGCCCGGGAGGCTCCGCGGGGCGCGAGGTCGGCGCGCGCGCCGAGCAGGTGTAGGGAACGCGCTCCCGGTGCGAGCGGAACCCGGTCTCCCCTCCCTCCGTTCCCTTCCCCCCGCCAAGGCCCCCCGCCTCTCGGGTACCTCATTTGCATGTCGCCGGGGCTCGCGAGTGTGCGCGCGCCGGGGCGGCGGGACCGGCGCGTGGGGAGGGGCGGGGGCGAGGGGGCCCTGCCCCTCTGCGGCGGCGGCGGAGGCGCGCGGGGAGCCCCGCCCCCGGGGAGCACGCTCGCGGCCCCTCCCTCCCCCGCCCCCTCCGTAGGGCCCGCGCGCCCGCGGGGAACAAAGGAGACGCGCGGGGTCCTAAGACCCGGCCACTGCCGGGCAGGCCGATCGCGCCTGCGCACCCTTCACCCCGGTCGGAAATCGCCCCAGCAACACTCCCAACCACAGAGACTTCTCTTTTCTCCCACAAAACAACCAGCCCGGTGGCCCGGTCAATGACAGGTACCAAAAGGATGAAAAGCGGAAAATGGCTGCTCATTCCCGTAATTAACATGGCGCCAGATGGGCTTCAAAATCCCCTGGATGGCTGGGAGACAAGATGGAGTCTGCTCTCGGCTACCTCGGCCTCATATCGGCGGACCTGGGAGTTCTCTAGTTTTGCTTTCTGCAACTCGGCCCACCACCCCCATACCACCCCCTAACCGAAGGATCCCAGACTGCCAAAGGGAGTCACATCTGTCCGCTTCTTAGTGGCTATGCGCCGGCGTGGCCCAAAAGGCCGGAGGGCCGCGCGCTAAACCTGCTGCCCTTACTCTGTATGGCGCCGGTGGTTACCCAAGGCCCCGCCCCTTTTCTCTGCCCTTACCCAAGATGGCACCCACCTGGCTTCTCTAACCTCCTGTGTCGGGAAAGGGACGCGGGAGAAGGAGAAGGGCGGGCTGCAAGAGGGGGAAGCCAAGAGGGCGGGAGGAAGGGGGAGTGCGAGGGAGCAGGGAGTTAAGACGGAAGTCGAGGGGCCCCCCGGGTGGAAGTGACGCTGCCCCCGCTGCCCAAAATGTCGGCGCCCAGAGGGAGGTGTAAGTAATTAAAGAGGAAAGCCGACTGACTTTTCCGGCCTCCCGGGGCCGCCCCAGGGCTCCAGAATCCCCGCTCCGTCCCAGCGAGGTGGACTCGCCTGGCCGCGTGTCCTGCCTGCCCTGCTCCCGTCCCGGGCGCCTGGGCCGCACGTTTAAGGACGTGGGGGGGGGGGGACCGGGGGGAGGGGCCCAAAGGCCTTCTCCAGGAGCCTGAGCTCTTGAGCCACCGCGGGGGGGCGGTCCGGGGTCCGCGTGTGGGGAGGACTACAGGGAGGGGAGGGGGCGGGGCCTATTGCAGATTCGGGCGGAGCAACGATTGGGAGGAGCCAGAGTGGGGCGGAGGCTAGAGTGGAAATAGGCGGGGCTGTGGATAAGTGGGAGGGGCCTAATTAAAGGGGGTGGATTTTGTACCGGGAAAAGGGACCTGACTGGCGCCCCAGGGATAAGTGGGCAGATTTTGTTGGGAAAAGGGACCTGACTGGCGCCCCAGGGATAAGTGGGCAGAGCTTAGAGGAGAGGAGGTGGGGCCTGTCTGGCGCGGGACCTCAAGAACAGTGAGGGAATGAGGATTTAGGTGTGGAATTTGGGGGTCTTGGTGGAAATCAGGTGAGACCATGGCTTAGAGAAAAGAGAGGTTGAACGACTCAAGCTTGCCTTTGCAGTTGAGTAAGGCTTTGGAGGGAAATCTTAGCTAAATAGTGGTGAAAGTCTAAGATAGAGCTTGAAGACTTTACTTTGCTTAGTGATAGAACCAATCCTCGTGCTCTCACCTAAGGAAGCTAGCATATGTCGTCTCAGTTTTGCTTCTTCCTGACCATCACTCCATGAGGCAGTTTCTCCCATTTTTTCCTGCGGGTGAGAAGAGTTTCAGCTGTTTTAAAAGGAGCTAATCATGGCCCAACAGTGCTCAACCCCTCATGTTTGTCTTCTCATTTGCTAAGAATATGAATCTTCTTGGAAAAATAAGTGGAAAGGCTTCTCTTGAGGGCCAGGTACCTGTCCTAGAGATCAGAGGCTTTAGGAACTGTATGAAGGAGCATAAGAGGGAAAGGGGAATGGGGATGGGCTTGGCCGACCTGGGTGTGACATTGCAAAGTGGACAGGACTTATAGATGAGCTGGAGTCCACTTGTAGAAAGACAGGGTTAATAAAAAAAAAACAGTGGCTCTAGGGGCTGGAGCAATAGCACAGCGGGTAGGATGTTTGCCTTGCACACTGTCGACCCGGGTTTGATTCCAAGCAAAAAAAAAGAGAAAAGTGGTCTCTAGTGACTTGCATGTCATGTAAGTGGGAGGAACTTTGAGCAGTATTGTTGGGGTTGGGGGGCTAGAGAAGGAACTCAGTTTGTCAAGGAAGACCAAAAATTTTCAGAACAGTGTGAGCCCTGGCACAGAGCCTGGGCGTGAGTGGGCAGGGTTTAAGCATAGTGGGTGGGGCCTAAGTAGGAGATGATGGCAGATCGAAAACATCCCAGGAGTGAGCCTGGGAGAAAAGGCTGGAGACTCACCTTCAATCCTCAGCACCTTCTGGCTCCAGTGTGGTCCCAAAACCAAACCAACTGGCCATCAGTGCAGAAGAGACTTGGCTGGGAAATGGGAGAGAACACGGGGGAGGGGCTTGTCGGAGACTGGCAGGTGCAGACTGGCAAGCTGGAGGGGCCTGGCAGCCCGGGACCGAAGGGGAAGTGCCCTCCTCATCTACTTTCCTGTCTCCCCCAATTTAGAGAGAGCCCCCACCTGCCAGTACCATGGATGATGGCCCGCTGCTGCCCGCGCCCCCGGCCCCCGCCCCGCCCGCCGCTGCCACCCCCCGGGTCCCGTTTCACTGCAGTGAGTGCGGCAAGAGCTTCCGATACCGCTCGGACCTGCGGCGCCACTTCGCCCGGCACACGGCGCTCAAGCCCCACGCGTGCCCACGCTGCGGCAAGGGCTTCAAGCACAGCTTTAACCTAGCCAACCACCTGCGCTCCCACACTGGAGAGCGGCCCTACCGCTGCTCCGCCTGCCCCAAGGGCTTCCGGGACTCCACCGGGCTGCTGCACCATCAGGTGAGTTGCAGATGCGGCACACCCCGCACTCACCCACAGTCTCCTGTGGGCCCGTCTGCTTTTGTTCCTCCACAGCAGGCTTCCCTGCTTCCACTGGTTGCCCTCACCACGCCCTACCTGGGCCCTCGGCTGTCGGAGCCACAGCTCCTAGTCCCTGGGAGGTGGTTGCCAGTCAGCTAGGTGATTGATGTGAAAGCACAAGGCAAGCAAAAATGTTCTGGAAAGACAGAAGTGTTGAGAAGGAACATTTTCTTCTAAAATCAGTGTTAGGAATGATGTGGCAGAGAATGGATCCCAGAGGGGCAGGACAGGAGAGGACGATATTTAAGCAGAGAGCTGAGGGGTGGGCCTGGGTGTCAGGCTCCTAGCAGAGGGAACAGAGGGGACAGGTATCACAGACATGGACAGCAAAGGTCCTGGAGGAGAGGGCAGGTGCCATGTGTGGCCATCCTCAGGTGCCAGGCCTCTGTGAGGATTCTTACTTCATCCTGTGTGCCAGACAGGGTAGGCACTTTGCACTGGGCCTGCTCTCTGTCCCTGTGGCCCCTGTCTGGTTCTGGACCTCACATCCTGAACATTGCTCTGAGCCTTCCAAGTGCTCTTCCAACCTCCTGTCTCTCCCTGTCACATCCAGCCTCTGTGTCTACCAAAGAGTGGCCCAGCATGACAGCCACAGCCCTCTGAGACCTCAATCTTGCCCTCCACTGAACATTTAATGAGCACCAGCTGCATGCAGCACTGTACTAGGCTCTTTCAGGGCCAGAGGGAGATCAGAGATAGTTTGGTTTGTTGAGAAAGTGCCATTTTGGGCCAGAGAGACAGAACAAAGGTTAAAGCACTTGCTTTGCAAGCCCACCAGCATCACATATGGTCCCCAAGCACCTCCAGGCATGATCCCAAGCACAGAGCCAGCAGTGAGCATTAGAAAGTAAAAGCAAGAAGGGGCTGGAATGGTAATACGGTGGGGAGGGATCTTGCCTCACACACAGCCAACCTGCATTTGAACTTCGGCATCCCTTATGGTCCCCTAAGCACAGCCAGGAGTGATTCCTAAGTGCAGTTGGGAGTAACCCCTGAGGATCACCAGGTGTGGCCCAAAAATCCAAAACAAGACAAAAAAAAAATAGCGAGAGAGCAAGAGATGCCCTGGTAAAGGCTAGAATTCTGCCCAGACTGCCTGGTCACCAGGTCTGGGGTGGGGGGTGCTTGCCCTTGGCAGACATTAGAAGTGGAGCAGTGACTCCTCAGGCCTCCCCACCTTCAGGCAGACATCAGTAGGCATTAGCACCCATCAGTCAAGACCTGCTCGGCACAGTCTCTCTCCCTGCCTCAACCCACAGCACAGTGAAGCGCATGCGTGTGCTGGGGGCTGCTGTGTTACACTGCTCAGATGCATAACATGCCTGGCAGGGCAGGAAGTCTGTACCATTCTGTTAGGCAGAGGCTCCCCCCCGCCACCCACCCGTGCCCCCGGGGATTATAGAGCCCCTCAACCTCCTCCACACCCTGACTGCACTACACATACACATGGTTTGGTCGAGCATAGGGCCATCCTACCTGCTTTGCAGCAACAGAACCAGGTTTCTTGTGGTTCTACCCCCCATCCTCATAGCAACCCAGTGAGAAGATTCCTTTTAACTGTTCCCCAGAGACAGGCCCCGAGAGAGTGGTCATTTTTTCCAGTTTTCACATGGGCAAGCAGAGGGCAGAATGGGCGGTGGCCCCAATCACTGTCACCTTCGGGTGGGAAGTGAGGAAGCCTCTGCCGATACCAGGGTTTGTGCAAGGAAGCCCTCTTCGGCCTGTCAGCCCTAACGCTGCACTCTCCCCCGCCGCCCCAGGTCGTGCACACTGGCGAGAAGCCCTACTGCTGTCTGGTTTGCGAGCTCCGCTTCTCCTCTCGCTCCAGCCTGGGCCGCCACCTCAAGCGCCAGCACCGCGGCGTGCTCCCGTCCCCGCTGCAGCCTAGCCCAGGCCTGCCCGCGCTGAGCGCGCCCTGCTCCGTCTGCTGCAACGTGGGACCCTGCTCGGTGTGCGGTGGGGCGGGGACCGGCGGCGGGGAGGGCTCCGAGGGCGCGGGCGCGGGCGGCGGCGGCGGCGGCGGCTGGAGCCTGGCCGAGGCGGCGGCCGCGGCCTCGCTACCCCCGTTCGCCTGCGGGGCGTGCGCGCGGCGCTTCGACCAGGGTCGCGAGCTGGCGGCGCACTGGGCGGCGCACACCGACGTGAAGCCCTTCAAGTGCCCGCGCTGCGAGCGCGACTTCAATGCGCCGGCGCTGCTCGAGCGGCACAAGCTGACGCACGACCTGCAGGCTGCCGGCGCGCCCCCGGCGCAGGCCTGGGCGCGGGCGGAGGAGCCCGGCACGGGGCTCGAGACTGGCCTGGGAGCGCGGCCGGTCTGGGCCGCGGGGCTGCGCCTGGGCCGCGCGGGGGGCGGCGTGCCCCAACTGGGGGCCCTGCTCCCCGAGGGCGGCGGCGAGGCGCCTGCCGCCGCGGTCGAGCGCGCGGAAGACACGCTGTACCAGTGCGACTGCGGGACGTTCTTCGCCTCGGCCGCCGCGCTGGCCGGCCACCTGGAGGCGCACTCGGGGCCCGCCACCTACGGCTGCGGCCACTGCGGGGCGCTCTACGCCGCGCTGGCTGCCCTCGACGAGCACCGGCGCGCCAGCCATGGCCAGGCCGGTGGCTCCGAGGCGGCCGCGGCGGCCCCGCCGGGGGACCCCGCGCCCGGCGAGCCCGCCGCCGCCGCGGGCCGCGGCAAGAAGATATTTGGCTGCTCCGAGTGCGAGAAGCTGTTCCGCTCCCCGCGCGACCTGGAGCGCCACGTGCTGGTGCACACGGGCGAGAAGCCGTTCCCGTGCCTCGAGTGCGGCAAGTTCTTCCGCCACGAGTGCTACCTCAAGCGCCACCGACTGCTGCACGGCAGCGAGCGCCCCTTCCCCTGCCACATCTGCGGCAAGGGCTTCATCACGCTCAGTAACCTGTCCCGGCACCTGAAGCTGCACCGCGGCATGGACTGAGGCTGCCGCCGCAGCGGGGCGCACCCCCCCCCCCTCCCGGGTGGCGCGTCTCCTCGCCTCCCTCCCCGGGCGCTAAAGGCGAGGACCCCCGACCGGAGACATGGGGGAGCCCAGGCAAATAAGCAGAGAGCCAGCTCTCCTGGGGTGACGGATCTCCGGAGAGGCTCCATAGATGGAGACCCCTGGAATCCGTTCTGAACATCCAGAAATCAGTCCCCCATATGCCATGGAGACCCAGAAACGAGTCTCCCCAAGCCCTTCTCCTTGAGGGGCAGACGCCTGCCTCCCCTCCCCCTCAGGAAGACCAGGATTCTCCTCGAGAGCCATCGCTTCCAACCTGGAGAATGTGGGGGAGATTGTGTTCCATAATTTCCCTGGGTCCCCTTTAAAATCTTGCCCCTTAAAGTCACTGGTGCGCCCCCAAAATGGATATAGCCGAAATCTGCCTTCCCCCCCACCCCACATTCCATTCCCTAGGATGAAAGAGGATCAGGGTGGACAGCCCTGCCCTCAGCCCACTCCCACTGAGGTCAGAAATGGAACCCCCCCCAGGACCGTCCGCACCCCAACACTAGAATAGGCTGGTTCGAGACCCTCAATAGGACGGTCCAATTGGATGCACCTGTCCCTGCCCACTGGAATGGACCTGTTGGTCTGCCCAGAACCCACTCCATCCTATGATACCCTCCCCCACACACACACAGTGTCTCCCTCACACCCTCCCCACCAGTCTCTCCAGTTGTGTCTGTCTCACTTCCTTCCAACCCTGAGGAGAAGGGGCTTTGGGGGTTACCCCACTGATGAGCCTCAACCTCACCCCACTCCTTGATGCCTCCTGGACCCTAATAAACCTAGTCATGTCAGTCCCTGCCGTCTTTGGGTTTCTGGTCCTGGACTTCAGAGGTGGGGCAGGGGATGATACCTCCCCCCCCATATTTTAGGAAGGACAGCTACATAACTGAGGCAGGACTTGCCTCCAAGCAGAGTTTTGTCTTTGGATAAAACACGGGAGCTTCAACATGGATTTTGTGCATGAGATGTTGGGGCCACATCCTGGCTCTGTCCTCAGCAGCTGACCTGGTGGTGACCTGGGGACCAGGCGTAGTGCTAAGGATTTGAGTCAGGGGGCATGGAAGACAACCCTTCAGGACTGTGTTTCCAGTCTGAGTTTGTTTCTTTTTATATTTGTTTTTGGGGCCACACCAGCAATGGTCACTGGTTACTAGGGGACCATATGAAATGTCAGGAATCAAACCTGGGGTTGACCTAGTGCCTTACCTGTCCTACTATCACTCTAGTTCCTCCGCTCACTTTTCTGTTTATTTTTTTCTTGGGATGGGGGGTGGCAGTGTTCAGGTGGTACATTAGGTGGTGCTCAGGGAACCAAATGCAGGGTTCTTAGTGGTGTTGGCCAGGTGCAAGCCAAACCCCTTAATCCCAGTCCTGCCTGGGCACCCTGAGTGGTGGTACAAGAAAGCTGGGGAGGATGAATTTGGAAAGAGCTTAGTGTCACCCTGTTACTATGTATGGACCCTAAAAGACCCGAGTTTTGTGACTCTACACAAAAGGAGCACCCCTGTCCAGGGTTAGACCAAGCGTGCCACCGGCTGCTGTGGTCTGAACATGTGCCCCCTGCCCCCCAAAAATCCATGTTCGAAATCTTGATGCTCAATGCAAAGGTGGCCAGAAAGGGCCTCCAGGCCAGTGTGTGGAGGAGGGCCTGATGAATGGTGCTTTCACTCACCAGAGGCGTTCACACTCCCTCCGCGCCTCCCCACAGCCAGGACTTGAGAAATGGTTCCTCATCTGAGACAACTATGCTGGGCCCTGGAGCTTGGAGTTCCCAGTCCCCAGAACCATGAGCATCAAATGTCACCAGGCCTGTGACAGTTTGTGACTGCAGGTCAGGTAAAGACACCCAGCACCCTTTATCAGCCAAAGGGGTAGCAACGAGTCCAGCATCACTTGTGTGTGAAGGGCCATGAGCACAGTGACATGCAGAGTCAACAGGAAGCTGAACAGATGGACAGGAGAGCTAGGTACATTCCCACCACCACACAGGAAGCCCTGCCAGGACTGATCCCTGAGCCAGAGTAAGCCCTGAGTGCTGCTAGACATGGCCCCAAAACAATAAGGAAAAGGACCTGCATGCACAGAGCACGCTTTCATTCCTGGCAACCCAGATGCAAGCCAAAGGAAAGCCTGTGGAGGTGAGCCAGGTAGGAAAGGAGCTTTCTCCTAAAACACCTGACGGGGTGGAGGGTAGTGGGCTGGGGGTGAGCACTGATTAGCTCAGGATAGCACATGCCAAAATTTTCCACGGTGGTAGCTGCCAGCACTCCTTAATCCGTAAATGTGGTTTGTTTCTTCCCCCACTTTGGCTCTATGTGTCTGTATTCAGGAGGGGAGTTATTTCCAAAGGATACCCGTTGGGGGGATGGGCAGCTGGGTGGGTGGAGAGAAAATAGGTGAGAGTTTGGAACCTAAGCAAGACTTTTGCTGCCTGGAAGGGTGTTTGCATAGGTACCAGGTGCGTCCCTCTGGGTGCTTAGCCATGCAGGTATTCTCCATTAGGCCATACCACCCACCTGGGAAACACAAGATTCATACAGGCCCCACCCCAGGAATAAGCCCCACCCCCAGAAAAAAGGCCTGGTCTCTTAAGTCACGCCCTACCTCTACCTTACCGTGGCCAGGGGAGTACCTGGCAAGGTGCCAGGTTGTCATGGAGCTGGATTGAGGTTATAGATCCAGGATTGGGGCCCTACCTGCTACACCTCTCTGACCTTTCTCTTTTCTCAGAGGGCCACTAGCTGATTTAGCCCAACTACTAAAGTCTGCAAGGACCAGTAGCTGACCGTGTCATTGGCCCACTCCTCCCACCATGATCCCATTTCATCAGCATCCTGAGGCTGAGCGACTGTTCCCCCCCCCACTCCCAACTGCCCCCCCCCCCCCGCCGGGGGCGCCATCTCAAGGGATCCAGAGTATCTGCTAGCCTCCGTGGGAGGAGCTCATTCCAGCACTGGGTCAGCCACCTGCTCACCCATTCTCCCTCCTTCCCTTGCGCCTCCCTCTTAATTCTCCCCTCTTTGGGCCGAGCCTCAATGGTAAGGTTTTGAGCAACCTCAACCCCTGTTCCCAGGGAGAGGGAGAGTGGACACTGAGGGTCAGAGGTGAGGACAGGCAGTCGAATGTGCAAAGTTCCGCAGGAATGAGACATTGAAAAGGTTATGTTCAGTGGAGGGAGAGACCCCAGGCACGACATAGGGGCCCAGGGAAAAAGGGGGTAAGGCAATAAAAGCAGTAGGCAGCCACCTACCCATCCCACGCCCCTGTTAAGTGACGGGATTTTTGGGAGCTGGATACTGTAGTGAGGACGGAACTGGAAGAAGCAAGAGAGCCAATGAGGAGGCGACTCCAGCGGGACAGACAGCCAGGAGGGCCTCCGTGAGTCAATCAGCGGCAAGCCCCGCCCCTGCTGCCCCAGGCCAGCGCCCAGCGCCACGGCAGCCGCCGGCCCCTCTCACCTGTGTCTACGCGCGCCGCCGCCGGCTTCCCCGCATCTAACAGGGCTCCGCGCGGTCCCTTAAGAATTTCTCCAAAACACTAATCGGATCATGTGAGTCTTCAGCCTAAAACTATTTCAAGGACTCCTCAGTCCCTCGAAATGCAGCCAGCCTGCTGCCTGCACCCTGGCCAGATCTTCCTGCACGCTGCTTTGCCTCCCTCTGCAACACTGACCATCTCTGATGGCGGTTCAAGGCCAGACTCTGTCCGCAAGGCGTGATACCCCCACATATCTCACACACACACACACACACCCTCTGCTTGAAATGTTATCTTCTGTGCACTCCCTGATTTGGCCTCTGCTTTTTTTTGTGTTGGGAAAAGGATACTTTATAGCATTAAAAATAGAAAGACAGGCTAGAGCGATAGTACAGGGGGTTGGGCGTTTGCCTTGCACTCTGCCAACACGGGTTCCATCCCCGGCATCCCATATGGTCCCCCAGCACTTCCAGGAGTGATTCCTGAGTGCAGAGCCAGGAATAAGCCCTGAGCGTCGCCCAGTGTGACCCAAAAAGCCAAAAAAAAAAAAAATAGACAACACAGCAACATCTAGGTATGTGTTCAAAAGAGCCGGAAACTGGTGTCCCGACAGACTCTGGCAGGGCAGGCTCATCACAGCTTCAGTCCCAAGAACACGCAGACAGGAGAGGTGGCGGGGAGATTAGATATAGATACCATCAGGATGGAATTTTGTTCCACTACAGAAAAGGACAGAAGCACTGGCATGAGTTCCACCTGGATGTGTCTAGGAGAGAAGGTGCCAGGAGGGAACACACCTGCTGATAACACAAGTGGCAGAGTCAGAGCCCAAGCAATAGTACAGCAGGCAGGACACTTGCCTTCCATATGATGGACCAGGGTTCAATCCCTAGCATCCTTTATGGCTTCCTGAGCCCCTGCCAGGTGTAAGTCCTGAGTGCAGAGCCAGGAATAACCACCAACAAAAGCAAACAAAAATGTGGCAGTCCCTTGACCCAGAGGCAGACACAGTCTCTCCCCACCTCCAAGAAAAAGAAAACACATTCCTGATGCCTGATCACCTCCTCCTCCCCCGTTTCATGAAGAAGCACAAAAATGGAGACTAGGGGCTGGAGCAATAGCACAGCGGGTAGGGTGTTTGCCTTGCACGCAGCCAACATGGCCGACACAGGTTCGATTCCCAGCATCCCGTATGGTCCCCCGAGCACGCCAGGAGCAATTCCTGAGTGCATGAGCCAGGAGTAGCCCCTGAGCATCGCCGGGTGTGACCCAAAAAGCAAAAAAAGAAAAAAAATGAAGACTCACTAGCTTGGAAAACTTCTGGTCCCTTCCTCCCTCCCCTCCTCTGTCCAGGGGAAGAGTAACGTTACCATTTCAGAAGGCTGCAGCTCCATGGCTTTGCATCTGGCCCTTTCTCTTGACAGAAGACTCATCCTTATTTTCACTTGCTTTTTATCAACCGCCATGTAGTTCTTATTCATTTATTTTTCTAAGTGTGAGATGCATGCTCACAGCTTCAAATCCAAAACTCCCTGCAGTGGAGAGGGCAAGGAGTTTCAGGGCTGGGAGCCGGACAAGGTTGCCCCTTATTCCAGTCCCAAGCCATGGGAAGCCAAGCTGGTCTCCGCTTCAGCTTATCACTTGGAGCTTTTCCAGTTTTTTTTTGTTTGTTTTTGTTTGGTTTTGGACCACACCCAGCGGGTGCTCAGGGCTGATTCCTGGCTCTGCATTCAAGGTTCACTCCTGGCAGGTTCAGGGACCATATAGAAGTGCTGGGGATCAAACCCAGGTCTGCCACAAGCAAGTGCCTTCCCTATTGTTCTATTGCTCTGGCCCTGCTTTTCCACATTTTTTACTGGGAGAGCCGTTTGTAGCATTCCATGGGAGTAGGGGCTGAGGAGAATCATGGTTTCTTATTCTCTACAAGTCATTTACTAATTTTGGTGGGCTTTTTGGTTTGTTTTCAGGTCACACCCAGTTGGTGCTCAGGGATCACTCCTGATGGAGCTCAGGGGATCATGTGGTGTACTGAGGGTTGAACTCAGGTCAGCCACATGCAAGGTCAAGGCCAGTGCCCTCTTTGCTCCAGCCCAAGATGGGTATTGAGCCCATTCATCCCCCAGCCCTGCAGCAATGAGCTGGCATGGGCTCAGTCCTGACCCAGCTGGTTCAGTTCCTAGAATTTCTTGTGCACCTTTTTAGGTGTTCAGTGTTTCTCTCACCAGCTATACCCCAAAGGCCAGTTTCCTGCCCACCTCCAACCCTGTGGACATACTTTGCTGCAAACCACACCATGCGGAGGCTCAGCTTCCCCCCTGCACTGTGCTCAACACCAGGTCCTGGAGCTAGGAGCTGGTGCCTTTCTCTCTGGTTCCAGGTTCAGACCTTGGCTTCCCCCCTGCAAGCTCCATGAAAATGCCCCTCCCTTACTCTGGAGGAGGCTGGACTGAGCGGCTGCTCTGTCCTCTGGGTGTCCATTACATCCTGGAACCTAATTCCCTGCACAGGAATGGACGCTATGTTGCTGACCTCTGGCACAGCATGGCCTCTGTGTGGACAAAGTGACATGTGACTTGAACGCTTCCAGGCACCAAGCAGAGTGAACTGTAGGTATGTTCAAAGCTAGCAGGGCATGAGGTTTGTCTCTGCAGAACTGACCTCCAGTGAGTACTGTGCTGAGTCCAGCGCTTGGTCTTTAGGACCAAAAGAGTGCATGCCAGGTCTATCAGAGCCAGGACACTAGGGGCAGGCCTCTGCTCAGGCAGCCAAGTAAGGTGAAGGAAGCTCTGCCTGGAATATGGGTCCTCTCTGTAGAGCCTGCCACTGCCCCATTCATGGCCGTCACCCCAGACCAGTCCCCGGACCCCCCAGCGCAGAGCCTGGCACAGGCTGGACCCAGTAAATGTGCATCACCGGAAGAATGAATGAATCTGTGTGTACGCATCTGCAGGGAGCAGGAGAGAGCTGGACCCAGTCTCCTGGTCCCGGCAGGGAGCCCTGAGGGCAGGCCCCCATCTTATACCCTGGTAGGACTCAGAGGTGTAAGACACCTGGGTCCCCGTGTCCTCCTACTTCTTGCTGGCACAGTCTCCTCTTTCAGACTTCAACGAAAGGCCAGGTTTCCAGGGGGAAGGCTTAGGCGGTGACACCAAGCCCAGCCTCCTCCACCCCCCACCACTCGGGGCCCTCCCTCCCCGCCACCACCGCGGTCCGCTGCTCAGCCAGCCGCGGAGAAGGAAGAAAGGAGCAGAGGCGGCGGAGGTAAGGCACCGGGTGGGCGGTCATCCACCCCACCGGGGCCGGGGACCTGCAAGGCCAGGACCCCTAGCCCTGGTTCTGCTGCTCACGTTTGCAAAGCATGCAGGCTGGGTCCCTGGGGAAATGGCCACCCACCCCCACCCCCAGACCAGGACACCTCACCCAGCAGCTTTCCCCCGGTGGTGCCACCTCCTCACCAGAGAGTCTGGGCAGCAGAGAGCAGATGGGGAGGGTGGGCTGGGGCCTCAGCTCTCGCAGCCCCCTGCCCCAACCCTTTAGGCCACAGGAATGCACACCCCCTCATGTGGCAGTCTGCATCCAGAACCTCGCCTCTCCCAGACCCGGGGCCCCCGCCCCTCAGTCCCCCAGGTGGCGGCTCCCCCCTTCCCTCCCAGACCCAAGCCCTGGTTCTCCTCCTCCCAGCGCCCCCAGCCCTTGGGGGCTGGGCACCCACACTCCATTTCTGGGGCCTCCGCCATCGGAACCCCCCTCAAGCCGGTCCCAGGTGGGTTTACAGCGCCTTCCAGAATGGCGGGGAGGGGAGCAGGAGGGGAAAATGCACGGACTTCGTGTCCATCCGCCTCTGCTCGGTCTGTCTGCTATACCCTGCCCAGCTCTGCCCAGCTCTGCCTGCCCAGACGGCCCTGGGCTCAAACTGTCTGCACCAACAGCTCTTTGTTCCACTCTTGGCCGGGCGGGTGTTCCCGATGCTCTGTCTCTTCCTCTCCAGCCCTCTTCCCTCTGACGCTCTCTTTTCCGTGTCCTCCTGCCTCTGCCCGTCTGCCTCCCCAACACTCATTTCTTGGCTAGCCCTCCCCTCGCTGACTCTCTTTTCTCAGTGCCCCTCCCCCTCCTTTCTGCACACCCCCTGCCCCTGTCTGAGCCCCCCTCACCCCATGACTCCTCTCCCCTTCTCTCCCACAGGTATGGATCCGCAGCCGCCCCCGCCCGCGCAGGGCAGCCCCGTCCAACGGGGCCGTGGCCGGGGCCGGGGCCGGGGTCGCGGCCGAGGCCGGGGCCGGGGCAGAGGGGGCGCAGGCGCACCCCGGGCCCCCCTGCCCTGCCCCACGTGTGGCCGCCTCTTCCGCTTCCCCTACTACCTCTCCCGCCACAGGCTGAGCCACTCGGGGCTGCGGCCGCACGCCTGCCCGCTGTGCCCCAAGGCCTTCCGCCGGCCAGCCCACCTGTCCCGCCACCTGCGCGGCCACGGGCCCCAGCCGCCCCTGCGCTGCGCCGCCTGCCCGCGCACCTTCCCCGAGCCCGCACAGCTGCGGCGCCACCTGGCCCAGGAGCACGCGGGGGGCGAGGTGGAGCTGACCACTGAGCGGACGGCCAAGGAGGCCACCGAGGCGGGCTGGGGCTCGCCGGAACGGGCAGCGCCCGAACAGCCCACCGCGGCCGCCGCCAGCCCGGGGCAGGCGCTGGAGGAGGAGGCCGCCTGGCCGGACGCGTGGCCCGCGGGGGAGGCGGCGCACGAGGCCCCTGTGGACGCGGCGGCCAGCGAGCCCTGGGAGCCGGAGGAGGAGGAGGACGCGGCGGCGGCGGCGGCGGCGGCTGCGGCAGCGGCCGGGGCGGCCGAACTGCGCGCTGAGCTGGCACTGGCGGCTGGCCGGCAGGAAGAGAAGCAGGTGCTGCTCCAGGCCGACTGGACGCTGCTCTGTCTCCGCTGTCGCGAGGCCTTCGCCACCAAGGGCGAGCTGAAAGCGCACCCGTGTCTGCGACCCGAGGGCGAACAGGAAGGCGAAGGGGGTCCCCCGCCGCGCCCCAAGCGCCACCAGTGTTCCATCTGCCTCAAGGCCTTCGCACGGCCCTGGTCGCTGTCCCGCCACCGCCTGGTCCACTCCACCGACCGGCCCTTCGTGTGCCCGGACTGCGGCCTGGCCTTCCGCCTGGCCTCCTACCTCCGCCAGCACCGGCGCGTGCACGGCACGCTCAGCCTGCTCGCCCCGCTGCCCGCCGCGGGCCGCAAGGACGACAGGGCTGCCCGGAACTCAGGAAAGGGGCCGGAGGGCGGCGAGGGCGCGGCCGAGGGCGGCGAGGGGGCCCCCCTGGGCGCCGACGCCCCCGCGGCGCGCGCCCCGGCCGGCGAGCCCCGCTTCTGGTGCCCGGAGTGCGGCAAGGGCTTCCGGCGCCGCGCGCACCTGCGGCAGCACGGGGTGACGCACTCGGGGGCGCGGCCCTTCCAGTGCGTGCGCTGCCAGCGCGAGTTCAAGCGCCTGGCCGACCTGGCCCGCCACGCGCAGGTGCACGCGGGCGGCCCAGCGCCCCACCCCTGCCCGCGCTGCCCGCGCCGCTTCTCCCGGGCCTACAGCCTCCTGCGCCACCAGCGCTGCCACCGCGCCGAGCTGGAGCGCGCCGCAGCACTGCAGGCTCTGCAGGCCCAGGCCCCGTCCTCGCCGCCGCAGCCGCCCACCGCGGGCCGGGAGGAGGAATCGGGCCCCGCGCGGGTCAAAGAGGAGCCGCCCTCCCCCGGCAGCCCGCCGCCCTCGACCCCCCCGCCACCCGTGCCCCCTGTCTTCCTCAGCGCCTCCTGTTTTGACAGCCAGGACCACTCGGCCTTCGAGATGGACGAGGAGGAGCTCGACAGCAAGGCGCACCTGCGCGGGGTGGGGGGCCTGGCCTGAGCACTTCTGCACCTGCGAGCCGCTCCTCCAGCACTCGGGTCTGCAGTGCTGAGGAGGGAAGTCGAAGGCGAGGTCCCTCCTCTGTGCCCCCACCCTGCCCCTTCCAGCCTGTGACACTATGGATGGGGAGCCCCCCGGGGCGTCCCTCCCGCCCCATTGCCCGCCCCCAGGCCCCCATGCTGGCTAGAACCGCTCACTCCAACCCTATGTCTTAGGGCAGGACGGCTTGGAGAATGCGGACGACAGTTGCCTGGAGGGATGGAGACAGGTGGGGGCGCCCTCCCTGGCCGCCCACCTCCATTATACACACTGGACACGGTCACTCTTTGGAGCTGCCACATCCTAGGGGTCCCCAGCGAGCAGAGGCCCGACCCTGTTCCTTTGTCGGTCTGTGAATAAATGTGAGTCCGTGAAACTGCAGAGTGAGACTCTCTGTGGAGTCGGGGGCAGCAGGACAAGATGTGGCTCAGCAGGGACCAAGGTGCAGGGGCAACCACAGCGTGAGGGGAAGCGGCTCTATGCACCCCACTGGCCATCCTGCACCCTCTGAGAGGCCCGGCAGCCCACTGCTCCTTTTGGGTTCAAAATTTGCCAATTCAAGACAAAGTGGTGAGATGTGAGGGCCAGTCCCGAGAACCCCCAGGGCAGCAGGTGCTGTGTGGGGGCCACTCGGGTCTGGGACAGCCCTCCAGGTGTGGTGGTTCTGGTGGCGAGGCAGCCTGAGGTGGGTGAGATGTGGCTGCCAGGCTCAGGGAGGAGACCCTGCACTGAAGGAGCCAGTTGCTGGCCCGAAGAACCCTGGACAGCCAAGAGTCCCAGGCCAAGGGACATAGGCTGTTCCCCAGTTTGAGTGGTTGAACTTGGAACTGGGAGCTAGTGGGAAGACTCATTTTCAGAGTCCCTGGGGCCGAGGCTTGTGTGTTTACCGTTTGGGAGACTGGGACTGAGCAGCTAGGAGGGGGGCACAAATACCTCCTCTCCTGAGGGCACCCGTCCTGCCGGCGCCTCCAAGTGCTCTCTCTTAGCCTGTGCAAATACTGGCCCAGCCACTCAGCTGTCGCCGTGCCTCTGAGGCCCGCAAGCGTGATGTTATCACCTCTGCTTCCAGGGCCCAGTGTGAGGGAAGCTGGAGAGGGCAGGGGCCCAGGAACCTGGCGGTGCCCGTGGGTGTTCAGAGTGCTGGCCCCTATCACACCCCCGTTCTGGAATATTGTCAGTGAGGGTAGTGTTCGTCACTCCTCTCCGCCCTCTGCCACCAGGGGCCGCTCTGGAGCTTGGTGGCGGCTCCCTGGACTGTCCTTCAGGGGAATGCGGTGCAGCGGGAAATCACTTCTCAGAGGCAGAGCTGCCAGACCAGCCTCAGTGCATGAGGATGCAAGCAACAGGGACCCAATCCTTAGCCTCACACCTGCCCGGCGGGAAGCTGAGCCACACACAGCCCATGCACACGGCCCCGCAGGAGCCTTGATTGCCTTTGCACCTTGGGGGAGAGGGGAAGGGGAGGTGCCCTAGGAATAGGTGATGTCGTGTGGGTGCAGATCAACCTGTGCCCACCTGAGAGAAGCCCCAGTGAAACTCCAGAAGTCTGGAGACAGGACTGGACTCTCCTTCCTTCAGAGCCCCTCCCTCCTTCCTCACTGGCCCAGGCTGGCCCATGTCCTGTACTAGCACCCGCTCCAGGGGAGGGCTGGCAGCAGATGCTGGAGCCAAAGGTCTGAGCTGGGCAGCTCCCTGCCCTGATGTCTGTGTCCGCGTCCCAGCTCACAATGGGCTGGGCACACTGAGAGGCCACAATGGCAGGACCGGCCTCTGACTCTGTTGCAGGTGGTGCTTTAGCTTGGTTGGTTTGAAACACACCAGGCAGTGCTCACTGTTGACTCCTGGTTCTGTGCTCAGGAGTCACTCTGGTGAGGCTCAGGAAACCACATGGGGTGCAGGGGATGGAGCCCTGTGAGCCTCATCAAGGGCAAGTGTCTTACTCCTGTGCTGACTCTCCTGCCTCATAGGTGGATTTCTGACTACTGGAACGGGGTTGAGGCCATGCCCCACTCCTGATAGAGACCCACAACATAGAAGCACACCCTAAGGGTCCTCGTCACACTGAGACCATGTGGATCAGCCCCCTAGATCAGCTAACCTAGATCCTGCCTAGAATAGTTGACAAATCTCCTGATTGGGGGGCAGGGGAGAGGAGGAAGAAGCATTTTATGTCGTCTCTGTTGGCACTAGAATCCAGACTGCTGCGTGCAGGAGCTCAGGGAATTCTGAGTTCTCCAAGAGGGAGCAGGGCCTTCACCAGCCATGATCCTCAGAGCAGACCTTCCCTCATGCCAGGGCTCGGGTGAGAAGGTGGTTAGGGCTGTGCCTGAACCTACCAGCTCAGCAGAATCCTGGGTACCGACTCACCACACAAACTCTTTTTTTTTCTTTCTTTTTGGGTCACACCCAGCGATGCTCAGGGCTGACTCCTGGCTCTGCACTCAGGATCACTCCTGGTGGTGCTCAGGGGACCATATGGGATGCTGGGAATCGAACAGGGGTCGGCCACGTGCAAGGCAAACGCTCTACCCACTGTGCTATCGCTCCAGCCCCACACAAACTCTTAAGTGCCCTCCCCACCCCACCTTTCCTGTTTCCACCCTCTCCTACCTCTCCAAGGGCACCCACCCCCACCCATGCCCTCCTCTCCAGGTGTGCCATCAATTTCCTGCCTCCACATCTGCACACTCAGGCTGAGGAGACAGAATGTCCCTTAGCAAAACACAGAGTACACTAAGAGCAGAGGGAAAACAGCCCAGAGTGTTTCCTGCAGGTGAGAAGACCAAATTCAGGGACAGAAGATGATTCTTGCCAGTGGTCAGCGTTGGTGATCCTGATGGTTGGTCTTGTCCTGCGCTGAACGTTGGCTGCATTTGTCACTACACTCAAAGCACGTTTCTTTGGGGGCAGGGGCCACCCTATCTCTTTCTAAAGGGTTATTTTCACTGCACGGAGACATGTCCTGGAAGGGCATGGCCAGGCAAAGTCTTGGAGGTGAGAAGGTGTGTGGGTGTCCATCTGCAGGAGAGAGCTGGGGGGCTCAGGAGAGCAGGAGGAAAGAATGGAGAGATGATGGCGGCCTGTGTTGAATAGGGGCTCACCGCTCAGTCACTGCTTTGTGCTCCTATCATATCACTGAGCTCGGGCAGAGGGACTGGGGAGGGAGGAGAAGGCTGAGACACTTGCCTTTCATGTAGTCAATTCAGGATCAATCCCTAGTGCTGCAGATCGTCCCTAATCCCGCACCCCCCCAAGAGTGACCCTAAGCACAGAGCCAGAAATCAGCCCTGAGCACTCCTGGGTATGATTACCAGCCCTCACCCTGCAGTGGTTAGAGGATCCGAGCAGACCCTCTCCATGAAAGATACAGCTGCGGGCCAGATTACCCATCTGGCAAACACAGATCACCAGCCGCAATGCTGTCCCCTCATCCACCTGCCAGGGCAGTCACAGAGTTAGAGCACGCGGGTGCTCCTGAGGGAGGATTGCAGAGCGGGGTGGTTCACTGCAGACAGGGCAGCTTCCTCCAGCTCCTGGAAGCAGTGGCACTACAGGCCACGAGACACCACCTGGGCTTCATCCGAAGGGTGTGGGAACAGGCCTTGGGAAAGAGATCATCTTGTGTTCACTGAAGCATGTATGAGTGAGTGCCTGTGTATGAGGGTGTGACTGTGTGCTGTGTGTGAATGTGTGTCTGTATTTCTGAGTGTGAATGTGTCGAGTATAGGTGTGTGAGGTGTGTATTTGTGATTTGTGCGTGTGTCTGTGTCTTTGTGTGGTAGCGGGGATCAAACTCACTCCTCATGCATGTGTGGCATGTACCTGAGCCCCATCCCTGGTCCTCAGAGCTACAACTCTGAGGGAAATCAAATATGGATGAATGGACAAAGACCAGTGGTGCAGATCAACAGTGGAACAAAGAGAAGAACCTTTTTTTTTTTTTTTTTTTGCTTTTTGGTTCACACTTGGAGATGCAGAGGGGTCACTCCTGGCTCTGCACTCAGGAATTACTCCTGGCGGTGCTGGGGAACCATGTGGGATACTGGGACTCAAACCTGGGTTGGCCACGTGCAAGGCAAATGCCCTACCCGCTGTGCTATTGCTCCAGCCCCAAAGAGCAGAATCTTACATGCGCACCTCTCAGTTGGCCCTGATTGCAATGTGCCTGTTGGGAAATGGGTGAGAGAGGAAGACAGGTGCCAGGAGCTCTCACCTGTGCTGACCAGACCTGCCTGCCCACTCCAGCTGCAGACCAGGCAGGGTAGAGGCCAGTGGCAGCCAGGGGACGTGGTTTCTTTGATGAGTGTGATGCTGGCAAGGGCTGGGTAGCTGCTAGACAGGGATAACTAGTGAGTGTGTGTATGCATGTGCTAGTGTCAGTGTGTGTGTGTGTGTGTGTGTGTGTGTGTGCATGTGAGTGTGTGTGCAGTGAGTACACAAATCTACGTATGTTGGAAAATACCCTGAGAGCAGGTCTTAGATATTTTCATCATAAGAAAAGCTATGTTTGGACAACTCCCCCAGCCTCCTCTGTTAAGGGAGACACACTCAGGCTTGGGAATGAGGGGACCCCTGAAAAGGTCTGGCAGCCACCTCCCCCCACCTTGGCCCTTTCCTCAGCTTCTCATCTTTTCCTTTGTCCCTGGGGACCCCTGTGGTTCCCACCAATATCCCCATGTCAGGATGATGTGAGGGTGCCTGAAGTCCAGCCCGGAGGCTTTGGGTTGATCTTTGAGGCTCCTGGGGGACTCCCTCTTCCAGCCTCCCGGAGTGCAGGCATGCCCAGCCCAGTCCACCACCTGAGCTCCAGACATGCTCATGGACCCTAAGTCTCCCCCACAGTCTCCCCCACAGCCCCTTATCAGTGGTTGTACCTCAGGAGGGGGCACTGAGGGGTGAAAATGAACCCAAGGAGAGGAACAATTCCCCCAAAGTCTCTGGAGCAGGAGGAGGAGGGTTGGAGGAAGTGGGGTACAGCCCCCACAGTCCAGAGCACCCACATGTACTCCCACCTGCTCACCTGCTTCCTCGCAACTCGGCACCCTGGGCCTGCAGGGTCCCCTTCACCCCAGACCTCTCTCACGCCCCCAGCCTTCCCGTCTGCAGTCTGTCTCCGTGTCTCACTCCTGTCCTCCGCATCTCTTTCTTCAGTTCTCTCTCCTTGTCTGTCTCTGCTTCTGTCTGTCTCGGTCTCTGTCTCTCCTTTACCTCTCACTCTCTGTCTTTCTCTCCGATTCTGTCTCTCTTCTTAGACAGGGTAGGAACAAACCCAGCACTGCTACCGGCCACACCCGCACAGTGGCCAGAGCAGAGGAGAGCTGTAGTGTTTGCCTTGAACTCCAGACTCATCCCCACGCCCCCAGAGGCGCAACCCTGAGCCC